ATATTTTTACAGAATCTTGTTGTCACTTATAACACAATATTCTCTTCAATAATATTTTATCTTTATATCCGTCCATTGTAGTATATCCAACCGGAACGTCCATTTATAAATGATACGAATTAATGCGAAACATTATTTATCTATTATTATACTGCATAATGCAAAATTTCATTTGCTTCTTTTTAATCGTGTTGGATAAGTGAGGACCATTTTTCTTTTCTGACAGGTACGAGGCGACATTAATTCGAGGAATCAATTTGTTGTGTTGCTCCGATTAAATCGGGATCACTTTAGAAAACGAGTTACTTATTATTTACGCGTTCAGTTTATTTTTACATTATGAATCAGATCGATCGGATTATATTCACTAACTGGATAAAAGTCAATGTTCGATTGAACGCCTAAGCATATCAGAACGTTGCACTTGTTTTCATATAACTATCGTTAATTCTATCGTTTCGTCTTGTCAGACATTCAAGAATAGCATTTGATTCATGAATACTCTGAGTCAGTCGTCTCTCTCTCTCTCTCTCTCTCTCTCTCTCTCTCTCTCTCTCTCTCTCTCTCTCTCTCTCTCTCTCCCTTTGGAACTATTTACTAATTATCATTTGCTTTAGTGTAGACAGCAGAATATTTATATTTTCTTTCTTTTCTTCCCAATTGAATAATTCTCCAAATATTGAAATTATCGAGAAAACGAAAAAAGAAAAAAATTCGATATTTGACTTATCTATCTCTATTTTGTTTTCCTTTCTCTTACTTTGATGGTTATTATTTCCATATATTTCATGTTTGATCGCGTGCATATGACTTATGAGTAGTAATTTATTCTAGTTATTATCAGCGAGGAAATGCCATAAAGTTTCGTAAAACGAAACTGAATGTATTATTTCCTACCGGTTAGTAGTATAACTGATGATGATAGGCCATCATAACGGCTTATTATTATTTTTGTTAGGGCTCGCGTTTTTCGGAGGATTTGCGACCGATCATTTTTCTCTCTTCCTCGCGTCTTATTAGTCTTATTAGTCTTTACTGTGAAACCTCGTAAAAATTTTTTGAGATATATCACGGTCGATAATAATAAAAGTCGTCCTTGAGAAGTTCTCGTTAGAAGATAATGCACATAAATAAGGGTTCATCATGAAAAAGAACAATTTATTTTACAGAATGATTAAGAGTAATAACGCTAAGTCGAGTGTAATAGCTTTAGTGAGAATTTTCTCTTCGATATTAATCACAGAAAAAAAAGAGAAAAAAAGGAAAAAGCCAACAAATAACAGACAAACAAAAGAGAGGAGTATCGATTCTATACATGTGTATATATATATATATATATATATATATATATATATATTCTATATATATATATATATATTCTCCGTCCTAATTAATCCATCAAAGGGCTTAACGTTCCGCGAATCGAAGGGATATCGTATGTGTATTTATAATTGATTTTCGAGACTTTGGGCTCGAGTCAGCTCTATAAAAAAATAAGCGGACAGTGTTTATCGCGTAGGATCTTTTGTACGTCACGTGTGACGTGTGCCATACATTTCCATCAGACGATTTATACTTCGCAGTACGAACATGAATTCTCTAATGGAAGAGACGAAAGAGTAAATGCCTATGCGTAACGTCGACAAAACTTCGAATCGAGGCCATCCAAGCAAAACCAAAACAATATTGCCCTAAGTTTATATACCTTCGTACTGTATAGATATACATTTATATCTTTACCACGTTTACATGCCTACACACTGTTTCCACTCTCGCAGGCAGCTAAATGTGCTAGCAGATAAACAAATGTAACTCGTTAACATTGAATGCACCCCTCTCTCTCTCTCTCTCTCTCTCTCTCTCTCTCTCTCTCTCTCTCTCTCTCTCGATCCCACATCGTCCGAATCTAAAGTTGGAACATTCGCAGAGTCCCGAGTCTACGTGCTTTTCGATTGGCTGTCGACGATTCTTGTCGTCGGTTACTGCAATAGCCCGTTGCATTTTATCGGTACTAATTTTTGCATTATACCGGTTAGATTTATATTTTCTCATAAACTTTAGATAATAGACTTAATTTACGAGTTATCGTTCGATCCAGATTCGACGCACTATGCAACGTAAATACGATATTATCTCAAATTTCCGCAGACCGAATTTATCTTGGCTAAAACGCTAAATGTTTACGAGCATCGTTCACGATTGCAATACAAAAAACGTAATTGACAGAATTGTATGATTATTGTACCTTTCGTATGACGAAATACTTGAAATTATATCTCGACAAGAATGTCATACTCGTAATAAAAACAATGAGGATCGAACGCGTAAAATTTTGTTCTGATGAACGAGATAGCAATAGTAACGTGTAATATAATCTCAACGTAAGATCTAATTTCAGTGATCGAGTTTCAATCGAAAAGATCTTCTAACGTTAGTCTAATCTAATCATCATTTTGAGACCTGGATTCGGCTATCAAACGTAGTAAACCCCTACGTACGCAACTGACGCTGAACTGACGCGTGCGCATTTCGTTCAACTCGTCGTAAACATCGAAGAGAGGGAGATGAGAGGCGAGTGCGCACGCGCGCCGTATTAGACACCGACGAGGGGAGAGGCTCGTCTCATTTCCCTTTCGATCGCAGCCGTGTCAACACGTTGGAGCCGATTGTCCGACATATTCTTTTGATCTTCATTATTTATAACTGTCGTTAATTATTTAATATATACTTACACGTTTGATATTATCGATCCGAAAAAAGTATATAAAGGATATTAGTAATGCATAAATAATCATAATGACTTTCTCATTATTAATGAAGAAAGATTAGAAGATGCGATTATTTAAAATTGAAACCTTTTATAATATGTATTATTGATATCTGTACATATACCCTTTGTCTTGTATAAGTTTACTGACGTAGACTGGCCTAGATGTCGCACGCCATTTATACGTATATAACTACTCAACGATGGGGCGAGGTCGTACACTTCGAGAGAACGTGGATATTACCGAGATACATGTCGGCTGATGTTCTTATACTGATATGCACCGAGCATGTTCATGTTCTTCAACCAAAGTAAATCGATACTATCGATCCCTCGCATATGCTGTATGAAATGTGTTTCGTGAAAATGCATGCTCAATGAATTAAACCTTTCTCGGAAGACACTTATTCCAATGCAATTGACAGTATCCCTTGAACGTCTTTACTTCGAGGTTACACGAAAATAAATTTTGGAAAGTTCATTATCTTCATATTCTCAACGGCATCTAATAGTTTCTCATCTATCGGTTATCGATCAATAGTCTTTAATACTTTAGATATCTTCATTTTTAACGTTTCGTTAAAACGATAAGGCCAACCCTCCGCAATACTCGATTTTCAATATTCCACTGTTTCAAATAGGAGAGACCCTTGCAGTAGCGATAAAGTGGCTACCGATTTTTTTTTTTTACTAAGCGAACTTTCAGTTCATTGATATCGGATTTTGACGCGATCTTTCGCCCGATATTTCATGTAAACGTACTGCATGTAAACGTCAAAGCTCTCTTTCTCTTTTTCCCTCGTTTCTCATCCTCTACACCTACGTCATAAGTCAACGGGAATAAAAAAAGCGTGCTAGGAGAACATCGATCTTTTTTGACTATAAAGAAAAAGTCTTAGAAAGGAGAGATTTTAAATAAATGTTATTCGGTAAACAACTTGTTCGTAATTTTATTGTGTTAACTGTGTAATTCGATAATTGTCAGAAGAGGGGTATAAAAAGAAAGAGGGAGAGAGTAACAGATGGCGAAGACGAAGCGCAGGCTATCGAATTCGCACGTAATGCGGTATTCTTTTCTCAAGTTCAACGCGGTTAACTCGCATTGCGAGCACGAATACGAAGACGGAGAGAGAAGTACCTGGGGCTCGATGTTGCTTTGGCATGATGTGACGTCAACTGAGACGGGTACGATACACGAACTAGGCCAATGCGACTGACGGCAAGTCGTAGAAATTTGGTACAACCTCCTGAGCGCATTTCAAATCACAACAGTTTGCCTGGGGGAGATTTAATTAGCGATAGGATTAATTTTATAATTACTAACAGGTATCTCAATGTTCCCGATAATGGAGGATAATGTCTCAACAAAATTTCGTATCTCGATTATTATCGAATTAATTAAAATTGAATTAATTTAATGAACATGTAGGTATTTTCGAGATGTAGGTATGCAGGTATATACGAAATTCAATTATGTCGAAAAGAACAATTTCTTAGTGTTTCGATCGATCAACACGTATGCAAATGCCAAATATAAAAATAGACGGTAACGTTGGGAGCTTAAAACAGGTTCATTAGAGTTAATGACTCCACGTTTCACACCGGCTAGTTGAGAAGTCTATTGTTATGTCTGCATATCGTCCATTAATAATATCAAGTCAGTGCCAGATACTTGCTTCGAGGGAATTAGCAAACGTTTAAATTCGTCTATCTTTCACAACCATCTTTCTCTCTCTCTCTCTCTCTCTCTCTCTCTCTCTCTCTCTCTCTCTCTCTCTTTCTCTCTCTCTCTCACTCTCTGTCTCGACTTCGATAACCTAAAAGTTCGACGTAATCCACTGTTATCTCCATTAACTCGAGTGAAATTTTCACTCCCTTTTTGTGGGCGGCTCGTCGCGTTTTCCTCGACCCACTTTCCGATTGAGAGGGAAACAGAAAGGAGAAAAATAAAAAAAGTAGCCGACGAAGGACGTTCCGGTTTTTGAAATGACTATTTTTTACAAAGATACAAAAGTGAGAAAATTTGTAATCGTTGATGGCGCATACACACGCACAAACAAAATGTACGAAGTTATATATCTATAAGCAATATATCTGTGCATCTCACGACAAGTTATTTATACGATTCGGTTAATACCGAGATCCAATAGTTTTCTATAGAATGAATATTATAAAAATTTGTGTAGACGCGAGTAATAAAGCAAAATAAGAAATGTGACACGCGAAATGTTGTCTGAAAGTCAAGATAGTTCTCTCGAGGGAACCAAAAAAAAAATATATATATAAACAAAGAAAAAGGAGAAGTATGAGAAACGCGTTAGACGCATATCGCGTAATTTGACGTCGCACGAGCTCACCGTGATAGGTCGTCGTTCGTAGGACGTTTAATTAAAATTCTTTGGGTTCGCAGCCCCCGGCGAAGACACGAGAACAACGACGAAGCTATCAGCTTTCCCCATTCCCACCTTCTCCTCTTCGTTCTCCTCTTCCCTTCTACGAGAAGGAAAGGCTGTCACATTGCCGGGACACGAGTGAACCATGTTCCAGGAAAGCTCGTGGCATCTCGAGGATTCCGATTATGAGCTAACGGACAGAGTGACTTGGTGCGATTTCGCGAGATAGACCTTAGCTTCTTCTTTAACGGATACCTTTATATATACACGTATATGTAGCTGTGAACCGGCATACGCCTACGACCGAAGATATCTACAGAAGTACTGTGAGATCCTGTCTGCAGGGATACGCGGTCCATATCCGGCCCGCCATCTTGGCGGCATGGTCCTTTGGGCCAGTATACTATTCCTGCAGGGAGCTGGCCTCGCAGGTGAGTCTTTTCAACATTTTTCTGTACTCGTTTATTTATTAATTATATTTACTTACTTATCTATGAAAGAGAAAAAAAAAGTATATGTACGAGTAAAAACAGGTATCAGTTTCAGTAAAAAAAATATGCGATCAATGTTCATGAATCTAGCGTTAATGTGGCTCATAATAGTAATAATGACGAGAAGAAAGGCAAAAGAAAAGGAAAAGATATGTAATTTACTCGTTATTATTCCTATTTCAAATTACATTTCCTATTTCAAATTACATTTCCTATTTTTCAATTACATTTCTCAATTACAGTCGCGTATGCAAGATCGTTTAGGATCGAAAGAAATGATAGATCGCTCCACGTCGTACTTCTCGCGTATTGCGATATGTCGCATATGTCGAGAAAGGATGATTTAATTTACATCGTATAGATTTATGGGCTGACCTGGTTGATGGGTTTTTGCACGGCTACGTAGAAGATAAATATCGAGAGAAATCAAAGAAGAGAAAGGAAGAGAGAGAGAGAAAGAGAGAGAATAGGTTTACAGCGGTCTATTCATCAATCTCTGTATACACCGTTCATTTAACTTCCCTAGAACTTGACTTACAAAGCGATTTTCCCTATCCTAGAGTATCGAAGCGTTTCGACATCCTCGAGAAATACATTGCACGCTATCGAAATAGATTAGAAGAACGATACGATTTTCCATCGACTTATATATTTCTCATTTTTACGAGGTCATCGCGACATTTCGTTATTCCTCCCACGAACCTACAAGTTGGTCCAATTAAATGATATCAAATCGATAAGACGATTTTCTTTTTTTCTTTTTATTTTTTTTTCTTTTTTTTTTTTTTAATAGAAAGAAGAAAGAAAAGAAAAAACAAAGAGAAAAAATTCTATCTTGATCTATCCAAGAAAGATAAGATCAAGTAATGAACCTATTAAGTATTTTCTTATCGACCCTACTCTTTTATACTATATTTATTCTGATAATAATAATTAAACCGAGGAAAATCGGAGGGAAGGTCATCCAAGGATTATCTACGTCATCTAAGAAACTTAAATTCAATTGTATATTATACGTGTAAGAATTTATTGTATTTCGACAGCTATCCCGATGATAAGATAACGCATTGGGGACGTGTGAAAATTATAATTGTAATTAAATATATATATATATATATAAATAAGAAAGGATTCAACCATATGTTCCAAAATATATTCGAATCATTTTTCATCGAAGTGACTCTAATCACGTGAGAGCTCTTTGTATTTTTGTAATATACGAATTGGATACGATCGATAAAAAGAAAATTCGAACGAGGTAGTACGGTCAAATAGAAGGACAGATCGAAAAGAAATAGATAGACATGCACCGACACAAAGACACACAAAGACATACACATACATACAGACAAATAGATTGTCCTGGACACGGTAGTTGGAGACGATTGATTCCTAAGGTTGTAGAATTGTTAACGACTATCGTCAACCAACCAGACGACTCGATCGAAATATCGTATAAGAGAGAGAGAGAGAGAGAGAGAGAAAGAGAGAGAGAGAGAGAGAGAGAGAGAGAGAGAGAGAGAAAGATGGTGCTTGTTAATTCTGGCCCTTATTTATTATCCAATTGTATCTATGCGTTTACGTTTGTCTCTACGAACTGCATTTAGTTCATTACTCGATATACGTACTTTAATTTGTTCATGATTACTTTCAAAAGCAATAGTCTTTGATATGATAAATTTTGCTAAGATAAATCTGATCAAAAAAAAAAATAAATAAATAAATAAATCTGTTTAATTTTATTGCGAGCGAGGAGAGAGAATAAAAGAATGAATTTTTTTCGTTTTAATGATATCTATTTCACTAAGATGAACAAAAACAAATGATTTTCTCTAGGGTCCTAAAGACAAGTGTTATAATTATAGGATAATGAAACCTGCTCTCGTTAACACTGTGTGAAGAGCTCTTCGAAAAGTTAACTTTGCAAACATCTCTCTCTCTTTCTCTCCCTCTCCCTCTTTCCCTCTCCTTCTCTCTCCCTCTCTCTCTCTCTCTCTCCCTCTTTCTCTTTCTGTAAAGCAGTTCCTTTTTTTTTGAATTCTTTTTTTATTTCTTTTTTAAGCAACCGACGAGTTACGGAAAACGTGTTTCTCCAACCTTTTTGTAGGATTGTGGTTCGACGAAGAAAAAACAAAAACGTTGAGAGTATTTGTACAGATGGAATTAGAAAAACGGTTCGGTAGTGTTTTACAAACGTAAATGCTGGTAGGTCGATCGGGTATCAGGTAGAAAGAAATGGAACTATTGCATCCTTCTATCGCGATATCTCGTAAAACGTTTTATCTATTGCGTATATTGGATTTCCTTGCAAACAGGAAAAAAGAAATTCTTTTATTTATTTATATCTTGTTTTTTTTAATCTTCTTGTTGACACATCGATCGTTTGAACAAAAAAAGAATGTCATTAATAGTTTCCCATTGTTTTTGTTGCTGACAAATTTGATGCGTTTAAATTATATATATGTATATAATATAAATTATGATTTTATAAATAACAAATTTTTATCATAATTTTATATATATAACAAAAATTTATGTATATATATATATATAATTTATATACACACACACATACGCGCGGGCACACACACACATTGTACGTAAATATATACAATTGACAAGAATAATACTAAAAGCACACATGACGTTAACGCTTGTTACTTTTAGAACTTTGACGTTTAACGAATTCTAAGACGTCTAAAATGAGCTTGTTCATACTTCATAAAATTGAGCGACGTCTCGATTTATTTTTCCAGGCTCGATGACGAGCGGTATTCCGGGAGTTCCGGAAAATATAACGGTGATGTTCCTAAACCCGACGTCCGTCCGTGTTTCTTGGAGCACCAGCCAGGTCGAGCAAGTTGAAAAGTACGACGTTACGTATAAACCGACGGACGCCAGGTGCGTTCCCATTATTTCAATATTTACTTTTTCTTTGTTGTCCCTTCTTTTTTCTTTTTTTTCCTTACAAACAATGAAGAACCATAAAAGTAGGTATAAATCTTTCGTTTGATACGATTAAATGCATTATTTAATTTTTTCATTTAAACAAACTTAAACAATGTCAAATGACTTTCGACCTCTTGATTCTTTTTTCTTTTTCAATTACAAAGATGAATTACGAAGATTTACGGAGAATACCATTTTTCTTTCCCTTCGTCGAGTAATCCGTCCCTATCTCTCTTTTTCATTCTATCTCAATCCTGTACCATAACGTTTCTCTCTTTCTCTCTCTCTCTCTCTCTTTCTCTCTCTCTCTCTCTCTCTCTCTCTCTCTCTCTCTCTCTCTATCTCTCTATCTCTATCTCTATCTTTACGGAGCAATCGTTTGAAACTCCTCCCTTAGTTTTTTCCTTTTTATCACCGTTCTATCAACCAGCTAAGCTTCTAATCCCCTTTTTTCGCTTCCCTCCACGAATTTATGAAATTTTATTTCTCATTAATCTTCCGGTAACGAACCGTGTAACACACTCGATTTACACATTCGTATATCAGTATTACACTATTATTTGGTTTAATCATAATTGAGAACTTTGTTTACAGCAATATCGCAGTTCTCCTATTTCTCGAAGTATAATATGTATTTTTCAATTTTGTTTGGAGAAGTGATTTTTCTTTTTTTTTTCTTTCCAATATTTACATATTTCATCGAGAATACATAATTTATGAAATTCAGAGCTTTTTATCAACTCTACACAAAGTTGCAATTGAACGTAACTTATAGCGTAAAATATAGTACTGGGATCATCATAAAATTACGAATATAATTCATAATGTATCGATGCTTTTCAATTGTTTTTTGAAAATTATTTGAAATTTAAAATAACTGTTCAAAAAACAAAAATATATCGATAATAATTACGAATGATATATAATATTATACAATTTTCGAAAAGTTCACACACACACACACACACACACATACATACGACACATCACAACGAATTGTTTCACTAAAAGAAATATCTTATTTCAAATGAAATGAAACGAAATTCGATAATGGTCGTTTTTAAATGATATTGGAAAACGATTTCCCATTACTAAAGTGAATCAATTTTCTATATCATTCCTTATCATCGAATGCAAAATATCAAATTTGAATCACAACGGGAAGGCGTTAGTTACAGGGTGGTGGCGGTGGTCGCAGGAAATAGCGAAGCAGTTACGTTAAGTGGTTTAAGGGCCGACACGCAGTACCAACTAGTAGTCACTGCCGTGAGAGCAGGGAAAAAGTATAGAAGTCGACCAATCGTCTTCCGTACGCTCGGTGAGTCATTCGTCTCTTCTCATTTATTTAATTTTGTTTTTTTTTCTTTTTTTTTATTTTGTTATTATTTTCTTTTTTTCTTTTTCATTTGTTTCCTCTAGATCTCCTTTGCCGTTTTTCGCAGCCATTATACGTGGAATATTTTCTCGGAATGTCAAGCGATCTTTACTACTTGTAATTCTCAGTACAATTCTTTTCTAATGAGATCGTACGAATGCTGAAACATCACGTTGCGCTAAAACAAAGATGAAAATTATCACGTGACAAATGATTGCACTTACATAAAAAGATTAACACGTCTGTTAAATAGCAAGATACTGAACTATTCTTTCGGTACTTCATCCATGTTATTAAAATGTCACTTGAGCTGGTTTACTTTGACAGTATTCTCTTTCCTTTTGGTCTGTTTAAATCCCTACCAAATACGATTACCAAAGGGTATTACACGAAGGAAATTAGAACGTTGTTGCTGTCTATCCGACTACGTCCTAATCAAATTTACTGTTAGCATTCATTGTTTCACCGATATTACGATATTTTTGCTCTTGAGAAAAAGAATATGTGCTATGCATTTTTTTGAATAATCGTTGCATTTCCATGTAAGTTTACGAGGATTAATTCTCTTGCTCATTATTAGTCAAACGCGTGATATTATGAACAAGTCGATAGGAATTGGTGATTACATGTTTACGATACGTATAGATATGATATTAGAATTACATATATATGCATGCATGTATTTGACAAATAAAATATCGGATCAATTTCTAAACCCTTTTTTCCTGTAACGCTCGATTAATCATTGGAAATATTATCGTTTAGTTTTTATTCTTTAATTAATCTAAACGCGATCGAAGATTTAATCAAGGAGAGGATTTTTACTCGATTTATCGACAGGACGCTTGATTGGACGGCCTTAATAGAACGTCCTCGCGGTACATAATACGTTGCACATCAATTCCTCGGAGGGATGAAGAGAGTGCTGTTTCGTAACCAATATTAAAAGCATCTACCTATATATATATATATCTGTATACACACACACACACACACACATATGTATCGCCAGAGGGAATCGATAATTCAACTGTCCCGCAGAGTACCCAAAATGGTCATATTCCAAAATATGGAATCTCTCACGTACTTCCTTTCGTTTTCATTTTTTACCGTCAATTATCTCCACAAAATAGACCGCAGATTTCTATTGGCTAAATTTAATGGTACCATACAATTTATAATATATTATTTATTTATATAATATAATATATAATTTATATATATATATATATATATATATATAGATATAGAATTTGGAAATGCTTTTTATTTGTACATAAAATCATATATGACAATTATCAGATAGATATAATTTGAAGAATCAATAACATTCATATGTTATGACAGTCAAGCAAATTTTCAATTCTCAATGTTGTTACTTACTCCTTCAATAATTTTACATAGCACGTATAGATACAAAAGAACAAGGTTATCCAAGCAAGTAAATCACACAAACACCAATAATTCGTGTAACAAGTTGTTCGCATACATGGAGATTATATATCCATACGTATGTACCTACATGATACTTCAGAGGAACATATGTTCCCTCGGTAACACGTGTTGATTTTATTTTATAAAAAATAGACAATGCATGCAAGTCTGGCATTGAGTGTTTCGTGTATATATATGCAGAGTGTTCCATTTCAAACATCAAACACACTTTAATATTATTTCATCGAGTGGTATCTATAAAAAAAATGCTCACGTTTACCATTAAGCGTTCCATATATTCTGAGTTTAAAAACTTGGACATACATATATATGTATGTATATGTATATATACATATATATATATATATATATATATATATATATATATGCGTGTGCATATGCGCAATATTCAAACGCGAAACATAAATTCGGAAGGAACGGAATATATAACTGAATATATGACTAAACTAGGAAAGGTTACGCATGTTTAATGAGGAAAGATAATCTACTTCGATTGTCACATGACCACGTGGAAACGATTAGTAACGATTAGTCGTTTCCGTGATGGTTGGTAAAGGGTAATCAACATTGATCATATACATATATCTATAGCTATCTAATACGCCAGCTCTCATATGTTAGCCTCTTTACTAATAGCATATTGAAAATATGCCCTTGCTTATAATAAGCTTATCCGCTTTCAAAAGACTTTTCTAGTATCGAAGTCATAAAATTGATTCGACGTGTATCTTTTTTCTTTTTTATTCAAAAGAATTCCCTCTTATATATACATGGGATATCGCAATTATAATCAATGCATGAGACTATCGCGTAAAATATATTCATACATTCAAATGTGGATTGATTCTAATAGAACACCCTATATATATATACACACACGTGTATTTATTTCTTTTTTTAGAACCTCCGCGGTCCTTTCCCCAGCAGGATGCAGCAGTAACAAATGGACCACTTCCTCCGTCTCCGCCGTCTTCTCAGCAGCCGCAACCTTACATACAAGTATGAAACGGGGCTAGGGCTGGGGTTGGGTCGAAGCTGATTTGGGGGATGGGGATGGGGGTTAGGGAGGACTAATAAAGACAGAAAGAAAACGAACGATCTTTTAAAGGTATCTTTTTTCGTTATCCGAGGTTACTCGAGTAAAAAAGCTTTCTTATTCCAGATACGAGGCGTCGAAGTTGGTATAGTTATACTGGTGCTGATAGTCTGGGCCGGTGCTATAGCTCTCTTCTTTAATCGTTGGGGTAAAATTCGCATGTTGTTGCCGTATCAACCGGATTACAAGGAACAATTGAAAGTTCCTGGTACCGGCGTTTGTACGGCGACCAATACGGCGTATCCTCAACATTCGACTCAGCACACGTGTTCCCAGGTAACGCATGATTGAATTTTATATTTACATTTATTATATCTATTGATCCTTATATTTTTTTTTTATATATATATAGTTTCCTCTTTCTATAATTTTCATTGATATTCGTGTCTAATGATTATGAAAGTTGCCCGACTATGTTTCATCGTTCATGAAAATTCTCATCCTAAATGCGATGAATGTTTGATTATGTTTGAACTAATGTTGGTTTATTCTAAGAACATTCAATTTCGTTAAGAATAATTTTTTATCCTTCATTTTTTGTTTTCGAAATAACTATAGCTAACGATTAGATATTAAGATATTATTTCATTTAAATAAAAAAATAATCAGAAAGAATTTTAAACACATGTACGCCAAACTATATTTACATAATAATCGGCTCATTTATTCATCTATCGATAGGTCGAATAAGTCGACGAATCGGATATTTATTGGTCCTTCCTCATATTCACACGTTACTCTATTCGATCAATCGAAATTTCATCAATAATTAAAATCGTCTTAAAAAAACTAGCAAATTACAATACAATATAATTTCCGATAAATTTGACTATAATTACCAAGTATAAAATATATTTTTTTTCGATATATATAAATATATATACACACATATATATTATACCTTTGCGATGAAATAATAACAAACGAGTAATAGAGCTTTAATCTCTAATCGATAAATTATTATTTTGTATGGACGTTTAGTCTCTTTTTCTCACATAATGCCATAGTATTACGCATGCAATTAAATGATGTAAAAGTTCCCGAAGAATAGGAAGCTCGTCGGATTAGCGTGAAATAATACCATCGTGAAAATGTTACCGTCCACGTTTTACGTGTTTTCTCTCGTGATAATTGTAATGGACGTTCTATAGAATTTGTTTTTCTCTCTTTTTTTTCCTTTTTTTTTCTTTTTTCTTCTTTTTCTTTCTTTTTTAATCCAAATGCATTTTCATTGAAATCCGTTAGGAAATTGCGTGAAAAACGAAAGTCTCGTTATCGTATTCCATATATTTGTTTTTATCGAAGATAGAAAAAAAAATGTTTGTTAAAATTATCAGTTCTTGGTAGAAATATGTTTGATATCATTATACGTATAGGGTTTTATCGATATATTAAATTAAATAGATTCGATACAATAGTTATCTTTCAACGAAATTTCATGATACTCTGGCTAAATACCTACGTAATCAATGATAACCCGGTTTCTTATTCTGATAGGGAATATAATGAATTATTCAGCGACCTCAATTGCACAATACCCAGAAGCGTATAAAACTTTGAAGGGACTGTCAACTCGGTCGAGAAGAATAAAAATAGATGACGAATAGATCGTTGACACACAAAGTATTAAATAATAACGATATCGTACCAATCATCGTAGATTTCCAAAAAATTTCTTTCTTCATCTTTCGATTATTATTCACATATAGTTTCTCAATAAAATTCAAATACATGGATTAGGAACGATAATGATTTTTTTTTCGAAACTCTCTAACTAATTTTTCGGTATTATTCATAGGTCCAATAAAGAAAAAATCCATAATAAGAAAAGATGAAAGGAAAGAGAAGTTATTTAGATTCAAGTCATTATATCTCTATCAATTTCTTGCTGTTCATCTTGACTGAATTACGGATTATATTTCTTTTCCCCTCCTCTCTCTCTCTCTCCCTCTCCCTCTCTCTCTCTCCCTCTCTCTCTCTCCCTCTCTCTCTCTCTCTCTCTCTCTCTCTCTCTCTCTCTCTCTCTCTCTCTCTCTCTCTCTCTCTCTCTCTCTCTCTCTCTCTCTCTCTCTCTCTCTCTCTCTCTCTCTCTCTCTCTTATCTTTATTATCTTTCACCGATCATTACGAATGAGAATTGCTTGAGGCAGTCAATAACGATTTATTCGTTAATTACTGAAAATAACGTTGAAGCAGCTTTTGCATGTGCTTCCAAATTAGTATTAGAGAGTTAAAAGGACTTTATATTATAAAAGACGTATACTAAACGAAGATACTCTCTTTTGCGTGCCCGAAAGCGATGCACGCTTTACCTCCCTGATTATATTCCCATAAATTTGCATATCCTTCTCTCTTTCTCATTTTCTCTCTTTCTCTCCCTTTTTCTCTCTCTCTCTTTCTCTCTCTCTCTCTCTCTTTCTCTCTCTCTCTCTCTCTTTCTTCCTTCCTCATGCATATTCCGGTTTAGTAAAAAACTTATAGAGAAGATAGAAGGAGTGAGTGGCGGGGTAATTATTTTAATCCTAATGCGTTTGAACTTAAGGCTAAGGATGCGTCGTTTCCATTTTTTTTTCTTTCTTTTTTTACTTATAACCATTATCGCATAATATAACGTATCAAACTTCTAAACTAATGTAATACCAATGCATATTTCGAACTAATGCATATACATGTATAATATATTAATTAAGTTTTCCAAATGTTTGTTCGCATTTTGCAATTGTTTAACTTTTTATTTTGAACGGACAAACAAATTTTTTAATCGACAAGTATATGTGATAATCAAATGCGTCATTTTTTATAATTACCTGACGACAATATGACAACTTTTTTAAAAATGTCATCCTTTTTTTTATAATAAGAAAAAATTACTTATTACTTTGTACTTTAAAACACATCGTATTTACATTAATTTATATTACATTATACAGCTAATTTCTCTAATTTTATTCCAAATTAGAAAACAAAAAATAATATTTTGTCCGTTCTAAAAAAAGTTACTCAATTTTGAAAAAGTCGTCAAATATTAATCCAATTCACCTATAATCTTTAATTCGTTATATTGCAATACATATCAATCACTATTTTTCTATTTATTCCTGAAACTTGTCTTAACTCGAAAAAGAAATAGACAAAGAAAATAATAAAATAAAGAATAAATAAATAAATAAACAAACAAATAAAAGAACGAACAAATAATTGCCAGCTAAATTAATAAGGCAACGATTAATAATAGAATCTAATCTCTGTCTGTTTCCTCTCGTCGAACTCGAACTTCTTCTTTTGGATACGGTATCTCGATATCATCGACCGTTCTTCGACGTTTCGCACGCCACGCAACGTACAATTTTCAACGGACAATTTTTCTTCGAAACATACGTACTTACGACGACGACGACGACAAATATTCTTTATTATACCAACTTGTTAACGAAATGACCGACTAACATAAACGCAAACACTAATACACATACATGATCACAAATGTACACGCGTACAATAAAACGCAACGCAACGCAACGCAACGCAACGCAACGCAACGCAACGCAACGTAAACGATACGAAAACGATCAAGATAATGACGACGTTGTCGGACATGATGATGCAGTGCGGGGGTGGAAGCTGCTGCGTCTTGGAACAGTGCTTTCAGTATCCTAGAAGAACAAGAGAACCTCGGGACTGTGGATGCCAATTTGCTCTTCTCCATAGAGCGGATATCTCTGCCTGACCATCGGTACTTGTACAAAAAAAGAAAAAGAAAAAGAAAAGAGAAAACAAACAAACAAAGAACAGATCTTTCATTATCTTGTTTTCGTTTTTCTCTCTCTCTCTCTCTCTCTCTCTCTCTCTCTCTCTCTCTCTCTCTCTCTCTCTCTCGCTCTCTCTATCTCTCTTTTCCTATTGTTTTATTATTAGGACCCAATTGCAAACAAGCACAGAATATTTTGCTTCTTTTTTTCTGTTTTTTTTCTTTTCTTTTAATCTCTATTTCTATTTCTATTTATCTATGTTCGTCGTTTGTCTCTTCTCGTCTTTCATATATTTTTTTGTAGTTTATTCATAATCGTGTTTTGCGATATATTCTCCTTTAAAATATTTCCAATTTTCCTTTCGACCCTATTTTCTTTCCTTGTTTCTCATCATTCTCTTTTTCCTTTTCTGTTTCTCTCTCTCTCTCTCTCCCCTCTCTCTCTCCCCCTCTCTCTCTCTATCTCTATCTCTTTCTCTATTTTTCTTTTTCTTTTTACTTTTCAGCAAATCCCCCGATTGCTTCTACTTTGTCACGAAAAGATAAAAGTGCCTACTAATTGTGTGCGTCCTTTGCCTCTTGCCGTTTTTCTCTTTCTTTTTCCTCTCTCTCTTTCTCTTTCTCTCTTTCTCTCTCTCTCTCTCTATCTCTCTTTCTCTCTCTCTTTCTCTCTCTCAAACTCTCTTTCTACTTGCCAATTAATAATCGGTACAACGACGGGGATAAGGGAAAAAAGCAAAAGGGAAAAAAAAAAGAAAGAAGATAAATGTAGGATAGAAAAGAAGACATGGAAATTGGTGAAAAATTCGCGAGAGTTTAGCTAGCTAGAAATTTTTCTTTGACGTTACGTATTTCGTTCCATTTAATTAACTATTGTTGGCGTTGCGTAAAAGGAGGATCGATATTCCATTTAATCCTTTATAAAGCAACGTCATTTTCAATTTGCGCACACATATACATTTGTATCTTTCTATTTTCTAATTTTTTTTTTTTTTTTTTTTTTTTATTTCATCCTTTCTCCATACTAATTTATTTTTATGCGACTTTCCTTTGTAATCAAAGAGTTTGTTTGTTCATGACAATATGCATTTCCTATTTCCCAAAGTATATAGTACATATTATTTAAATATTCTTCTTTCTTTTTTTCTCCTTTTTTTCTTTAATGATTAATAAAAGTTTCTACGTAACTGACATTACGATATTTCAGCGTATTAAATCGAAATTAAATCGAGCGCTGATAATGCACTTGAAAGATAATTAATTGTTACGTTTATATATTTATAATTATTTAAGTTTTTCATTCATTTATTTATTTATTTAATTAAATATTCGCTTTCTTTCTAAAAAGTCGAAACGCGGAAGGAATCGACTTGAATTAAACTAGACTCGAAGAGTTCACATATTTTATTCTCTTCGAGTTCGTTATCGAAGATAATCTCTTCTAACTTTTGATTTTCATATTTCTTGGAGAATGGCAAGCACAAGTAGACTGTCATTTAGGATATCACAACCAGCACTTATCTCGTTATCAAAATCACGAAGCTCATTCGCGGAAGACATTTTACTTCGTTAAAGGACTTTTGGTAAATGCATGCCCGTGAAATATCTACCTTTAAATTACGATGGAACGAAGCCAAAACGGAATTATTTGAAAGTATTCGTCGAAGGTACACGTTCGAATAAATTTACATGATAAATAGAAGAAAATAACAGTGACCGCGCGCTCGTTTTCAGAACGTTCGATATAATTATATGTTTAGATATTATATATCGTTCATGCCATATAAAAAGAAAAGAGAAAATAGAAAACAAGAAAAAAAAGAAAAAATATGACAATTCTTTGCCCGCCTGAATTCGCTTCGGCCGATAACACCATCTTCAGTGACGTCACGCTAAATTTCATCAATGAAATTCGTGCACGCTACATTTAAATAATCGCACAACGAGAAGTATATGTACTTATATACTTAGAAACGTCCGAGTATTTCAATGTACATTTGATGACGTCACGCTTCAAAGCACACACATACACACAGAGAGCGACAGACACACACTCTCTCTCATACTATATGTGTACACTGAACGCACAAATTTTTATGTTGCGTCGTTCGATTTTCCTTCGTATTTCTACATATAAACGAACCAAACGTATACGTGTATATGTGTACTGGACGGGAGGGGGAGAAGGGGAGAGGTTTGTTAATAAACAAGCAAACAAGCAAACAAGCAAATAAACAAACAAATAAGGAAACAAGCAAACATGGAAACGTTTTGTTCGTTATATTCAATCAATACGTATGATGATCCCGTTTGAGCTATTTCTAATCCAATTGATGAAATTGCAGCATCAGCACTGGTCGAGTCATCACGTGGACTCTTTGGACAGTGGCAGTGGTTTAGGTTGGCCAAGACCGACAAGGCCACGTGTCAATAGTGCCATCGATGTCGCTGGCTTCCTTTCACAGGTTAGTAATCACATAAAAACAATTGATCTAACGATTTTCGACTGGATCTCGATTACTTGAGAATTAATCCTTTCAGAGCTAACACTTTATACCACGTGAACTTTTTATTACTTTTATTACATATACTATAGTACTAATATGTTCTAATATCTTCTTTAAATGTATGAAAATAATGTGTAAATATATATATTTCTATATCTATATATATATAGATAGTTAGATAGATAGATAGATAGATATATACATGTAAGTAAAAATTTTCAATTCACTCTACTTTTCGTATGGATCAATCCTCTTCTATAAGATAATTTCTATGTAACGTACTTTCATTCGAGATTTCGCATATGTAGGTACATAGATGCATGTAAGTACAACATATTACCTGATAACTCTACTAAATGTTTATATAATTTATACTCTTAGAAATTTAGGGCAATATCGCTTATCGATCGGTGGTTTAGAGGTATTAAAAATTCGACGTCAATCTCGAATAATTACAACTCGTATTTATTATTAAACCAATTATTCAAAACAAACTTTTTTTTTCCTTTCAATTTGCGAACGTGATTTTCATTTCTTCGTACTTCATACTAGAGATCGATAAATATACATATACGTATAATATATCATATATACGAATAATATGTATATACTTGTAAATATTTCAATATCTTGGTTTATTTTCTACTTTTTTTTTCTTGTTCTTTATTTTTATTATTATCATTATAAGAGATTAGAATCGTTCTCATCGATAACGCAAATGGATTCGATGAAATCGTGTCGCGAAATTTCGAAAAGCGTTACCGCAAAGTGTTTGCAAAGTGACGACTGTGTTTTCTAGTGCGACATTTATTTAAATAAATGATAGATACGAAGGAGACCGCCGCGTAAAAGGAATACCTCAAAGTCGAACGTCAAAGTTCAAGGTAGTCGCTATTGAGGTAAAGTTCGTCGCGTATAATCGATACTTTGTCGACTTACTTTGTAAAAGTAAAAAAAAAAAAAAAAAAAAAAAAAGAAAAGTAAAGAATAGAAAAAAGAAAAAGAACAAAGCTCGATTAGGCGAGATGAGCAAGCACCGACTCAAACGAAACGTTCTATTTCTCGATTTTTTTCTGTCGATGTTCGAAAAATCGATTTCTTCTTCTTAAAAAAAAATTACTTGTAATATGTACTAATTAGTGTGCTAATACTAGAATATAACTATTATATTTAGTTATATTAGGGATACTTACATCGGTATACTGATAAAAAATAAAATTGATCGATACTTTATAAAGGAGTATATAAACCTTTCGTGGAGGCAGTATTATAATTCTTTTTTTTTTCTTTTTTCTTTTAAAACTGCAAGGATTAAAATTCTTAAAGAAAATTTATGAAACATCTTTTGACGATGAAATGACCATTGATATTTTTGCTTCCTCTTTTTATTTTGATAAGGAATTCCTCCGACGACATGGGTCCACGTCAAAGTTATGTCGAAAGGTTCGCAGTGCGGATAATTTGCCATTGGCCTCAGCGAATCGCCAAACTCATCAACGAAGAAGTTCAAGAAGCGAAGGAAACGAAGGAGATCGAGAATCTTTTTTGAAACCTAGTCAAGAAGATCAAGAAAGATATGAAACTACGAGCCCAAAAAGACAAGGCAGTCCTGAAAGTGGTTCCAAAGATCTCACTGAGACATCTTTGCTGGACTCGAATTATCAGCAACCATCGTCGAGGTAAAACATTTTATATTCATTTTTATTATTTTATTTTCTATTTCAAATGTCGTTAACGATCGATGCAGAAATTCTTATAAACATTTCATTTAAAGCTCAATAAATGCTTTCTCATGCAATTGGTATTTATGTATATATATATATTTTCTTTTGTTGTTGTTGTTTTCTTTTTTCTGCATAAAAAATATCTTAAATATTGTACGATAAATTCTAATCGATTTCCGATAAATTCAATATTTTTTCTTTCCAATTTCCAAAGTTATTAACGATTCGTCTATAAGAGACGTGTGTGTGATATTTAGTTTAGATTTCAATCAACGCGTCTCGATGTTTTCTTTTTATATTAAAAAAAGAAAAATATTACGTGATATTATAATTCTAATCGAATACCAACAGATTCAATATTCTCACGAAAAGAGTTTGATAGAAAAATTATTCGTTGGTGAGAATTGGAAAATGAATTTCTTTATAATAATTTATCATTTGTATTTCCATTTTATTCAAAGTTAGCAATCGTATACGAACACTTTTGATGTCATATAGTGTAGATTTCCGTGGATGAGAAAAAAATGAAAAATAAAAATATGCTTTTAAGGGACTCGCCGGTACCACCGACGACGACGACATCGTTGGTAGCGAAACGATTCAGTGGTTGGCGCGTACCAGGAAGTCACGAATACGTCAAATGTCCTATTCAACAGCCGGTCTCAATGGACGAACGGTAATAAAGGAATTTTTCTAATGAAACGATAAACCAATAAGAAAACTAAAGGTATTCGTAAACCGAAAACTAACTTTAATTCGTTTCTTTTTAAAGTCGGATGTAGAGATTGAATTCCTATAAAAAAAAAGACCTCAATTTGTAGTTTCCACCTTGCAAAAGTTCATATTGATCGAATTTTTGAAGAATAAAAAAGCAAAAAAGAAAGGAAAAAAAAAGAAATATAAATCGCAGATGTTATCGACGGTCATGCGAGCCAGAGAGCGGTCTTTTATCGAGGCATCATCATCATCGGCATCACCATCATCATCGTCTCGATGGCGAACACTATTCGAAGAGTTACGATTATACCAGACGTACTCCAGAATCTAGCATAGACGTGAAACACTTTGGACTGCCGATTTTGAGCGTGAGCGAGCCCAGCCCACCGGATGAGGATGGTCGAGTTGATGATTATTTGTAGGACTTGCTTGCCGAGGATTTCCTCAAGGAACTCCTCGTATGATACCACCATCTCTTTTTCTCTCTCTCTTTCTTTTTCTCTCTCTCTCTCTCTCTCTCTCTCTCTCTCTTTTCTCTCTCTCTCTTTCTCTTTCTATATACCTTAAATGAGCAACATGTTATTACACGAGTAGCCACAAATATAATATCGTTTGAAATGATACACGGCTATAAGTAAATATGTACCGATGTGAATATAATTTCACATGGTATAATGAAAAAAATGAGAGGTTATAAAATTAGAAAAAAAAAATATTGCAACTAATTCGATTATATTGCATAAAATAAAAAAATTTAGGGATGGAAATATTTATAACAATTATTTCAAAATAATCTACGATCTAAATGAGAATATCAAATAACAAGGTTGCTCCTCGTCTCTATATTATATGTATATTTCTCTTAATTTCTTCATTACTTGAAATACGATCGTGTTTTTCAAGATCAAGTTTAACGTTCTCCCTTCGAAGATAAAACAAGAATCGATTTTTCTTAAGAAATGATAAATAAGTGTACGATCGATTCATCTTGATTAGTATTTCAAGAATCTTAGCTCGATCTATTTGATGAACCGTTCGTGTATGTTTGAGGTACTATAAATAATTAGGACAAATATTTAAGATAAACTTGGCACCGTATTTTCGTCATCATGGAACAAACATGAAAGAATACTTATACATATATACATATACATATATATATATGACATCATTTTAATATATATAATATATATATATGTATGTATTATTACATAAAAATTAATATATAATTATAAAACTTCAAAAAAAGAAGCCAAAATAGTACTTCTCGTAATTCATTCAAATTCAATTAAAAAATAATTTTGTCCGCAAGGACAAAACATCATAGCTGTTTTTCGATTAAAAAAAAAAAAAGGTAGAATCGCACGACAACGACGACGAACGAAATGTCTATGGGCGTCCAATCGCATCACTTTCGTTCGAAGATAAAAAAATGGATTTTATTCTTCAGAAATAAAGGAAAAAAAAAGAGAAAAAATGAGAGAAGGGAGTCTCATTTTCGCGAGATGATAATTAAGGGACCATGATCGGTCGAATCGAAATGTACACATATTAACTTATAGACGTATCGTACTACTATTAAAGTAGATATCACTTTGAGATATGATATCGAGGTAAAGAAGAAAAAAAGAAACATAAGACATATAAAAAAGAAATATAAAGGAATGTTAATATGTAAGGAAACATACATATCTATACACATATGTACAAGATGATGAATCATGAAACGTGAATATCTTAACTTATTTTATTAATAACTTATTTAATATGTTTTTGCATCTGCATTGAGAAAAATCAAAATCAAAAAGAGAGGGAGATATATAAAACATATATTTTAATTAACTTCTTCATAAATCTTTGAGAAATTTATTTAAATAATTTCATAATCTCTCTCGCTCTTCCTTTCTCAGTAAAATTTTTTAATTATTTTATTTGAAAACAAATGAGTCATGAAAATTTATTTAAATACCTTCCGATCTCGGCGCTTAAAGCACGTTGTCTCGGTAATTTAATATAACAAATTAATTTTCAAGAATAAAATCTCGATCGATCAATTATCGATCAAATGCTCACGTGACACGACTCATCCGTTTGTTTGTATACACATGTATACGGCAAATATCCTTGTATGTGTGTGTGTATATATGTATATATATATATATATATATATGCGTACGATCTTGCAAAATAACGAGAAGTGTGTACTAAAAGCTTCGTCGCGACGTGTCCTTGAATTTCTTGATTGCAAATCGATCGCGACGACTTATCAGAATTCGTTATTACGTTGGAACGATGCGAGGATACTATCGAACGCTATGGTGTGTGTATGTGTGTGTGTGTGTGTGTGTGTGTGTGTGTGTATGTATGTATGTGTGTGTATATGTGTGTGTATGCAAGCTTGAATATGTATGCGTGGTGTATATTTGTGTTCTACGTACGCGCGTACTCATATTCGTTTCATTGCAATGAAATAAGCCAACGCAAAAAAAAAAGAAAAAAAGAAAAAAGACGAGATAATTGATTTCCTTTTCACTGAATAACAAAGAGCTGCCTCGGCACAATTCACATAGACATTTTTCATATTAAAAAATTATATCTTAATATTTGCAAGACGACGTTTACCCTCGACGAAAAAAGAATTTAATCGCTTTTCGATCGTGCCCTTGAAACATTTCTTATTCGATCTAAAAAAATTACATTTTTAATTAATTTAATTGTTGACATAGATATATATATATATTTAATTTACAATTCGACCTTTTTGTTCAAAAATCAAGCTGATAAAAGAAAAGGATAAAATTTTGTAGAAACTTTCTGACAAAAAACGTATCGTAATTATAACTGTCTCTCCAATTAAGCGATACGCAAGAACGATAAAGAAAAATCGAAAAAAGGCGGGAAAGTATGTACACGTATCGATTTCTTTGTATAAAAAGAAAAATATCCGCAAGTGTGTTTCATTGTTTAAACGAGTCAATTACGTCCATATCCTTTGCATAGAACGTAGCATTAGGGTTATTGTAGGTAACATTTCTAATCGTACCTCTCTCTCTCTCTCTCTCTCTCTCTCTCTATATATATATATATATATATTTGTATGTGTGTGTGTATGTATGTATGTGTGTACGTACATTAGTAAATTAAATTAAATAAGAAAAATGGTCATAACTTTCCTAGCTTCTCGAAAGGATATCGAAAGTTTCTTAAAATTGTTCCCTCATTTCTATTTATTAAAAAATCTGATTAAATATTTCAATTAGTTATAAATTTGAAATATAAGTAAATACGTGGGGACCAATGAATAAAACGATTGAACGTCCATTACTAACATCGATATTAACTTGTAATAAAAAGTGAAACATAAAAAAAACACAACAAGAAAGAATAGGTCCCCTTTTTATGGATCCTTTTCAACGAAACCCGCGAAATAAAAAACGAATTTTAATGTTAATTATCCTAAATCATTCTTTCTAATAATATTAGCCGAAAGAAAAAACAGGATTAAACTCTGTTTAAGAATGATTGGCAAACATTTCGTTGTTTCGAGAGAATTCGATCGATTTCGAATAATAATAATAATAATAATAATAATAATAATAATAATAATAATAATAATAATAATAATAATAATAATAATAATAATAATAATAATAATAATAATAATAATAATAATAATAATAATAATAATAATAATAATAATAATAATAATAATAATAATAATAATAATAATAATAATAATAATAATAATAATAATAATAATAATAATAATAATAATAATAATAATAATAATAATAATAATAATAATAATAATAATAATAATAATAATAATAATAATAATAATAATAATAATAATAATAATAATAATAATAATAATAATAATAATAATAATAATAATAATAATAATAATAATAATAATAATAATAATAACAATAACATCACGAGCTTTTCGCTTGATCCTAATTGTTACACGTACGCACGTATTTGTGTAAATATCATCTCGATGTAAGAAACATTATTTTTATAAACAATTTAACTAGAGGGAGTTTCAATCGAGCAGGCAAATTTATTAAACAAGGACAGTAATTCTCAACGCGTTATTTATTCTGGCATTTCGTTGCTCTAGTAACTAGTTGATATATATCGAGTATCATATTCTCTTTCATGTGTATTGTATTACCCATGTCTCCAATACGATATTGTATAACATTTATAAAGATAAATCGATAGTGTAACCTTAACTCGAACCATCTAGAATTCTCGTACACGTTATTCTCGTTATTTCGCTCATTGATCAATTATAATGTGTAGATAGATTTAAGACGATTCGAACGTTCCTTCGGACCATCGGTGTAATTCATTGTCAACGACCAAATTAGAATATTTTCTTCTATTTTTCTTTCTCTCTATTTCTCTCCTTCAATGACACAGTTACCTCATACAACTTCCTTTACTAAATGTACAGGGTAATTCGCTAATGTTTACGAAAAATTTCAATTGTGTCGTGAAAAGATATTCTTCTTAATTTTACTTTTATCGAATTGTACGAACGAAGTTGAGAATTATCAGTAACTTTTCATTCATTCGGTTTCATTGATGAAAAAATCTCGATTGAAAATAACATATGTGTACTTTGTACGATCTTCGATAATCGATATCCAACGATCATATTCCCAGCTGATAGGTTATGTTGAGACTTATTGTCTGCTCCATTCATTTAATTTCATCCATCAAAGTTCCTTAAAAATCTCGATTTAAAATAGTGTATTTATTTCTATACGATCTTCGATAATCGATATCGATCGATGATAGGTTATGTACGCCTCATGGATGCGTATGTACGAATCTTTGATGTAGTACATAAAGTATATAAGTTGAAAACATTTCTATATAACTTTTATCGAATTACCCTGTATGTATACATACACACATGCATACATGTATCATACATACATGTATATATGTATATATATTATGTATGATGTATGATATGTGCAAGCTATTAACAAAATGTATGTACACAGCCAGAACCAGCGGTGCATAACCGCCTTAGATGTAATTTAAAAGCGCGCTTAGCTGCAAATAGTTTACGAGTAAATTTAAACGTAAATCGTATAATTGTATGCACGTATGTGTGTGTATGAATGACTGTGTGTTAAGCGATTAAGCAACATCGAGAAAGGGGTTACCGTTTTCAAAAATATTATTTATAATATATCTTAAATAACAAATTTTTAATTATTTCTTACACTTATTTAAAAATTCGTTGATTTTGAGTAAGTAAAGATAAACGAATATCAACGTTATTATTTAAACATCAAAGTTACTAAACTATCAAAAATCAAAGATATTATCGTATATTATTTCATTTATCATTATTATTTCATTATCCTTTAAAACATACGGACGAAATGTGAAATGTGCGTGTAATATTTCGAAAAAGATTTTTGTGCAACGAAATTAGTCATTTAGGAAGTTAAGAAGTTGCTTCGTTGAAGATATTGGCATTTACATTGTCTTACCTAAAGTTTATTATAAATAAGCAGTATGAAAAATATTCGTTTCGATGCAATATATATTTACCGACCATGGATTAAGATCATTAAAGAAAGAAAAAGTAACAAAAGAAAGGTAATAGAAAACAGAATTATAGCTTTAAGCAATGAGACCAAAATAAGTAATGATGAATCCTTATTCTCTTATATGGAAAGGCAATCTTAAGACAGTCGATTTAAGAGCGATTTTACAAAAAAAAAAAGAAAAAGAAAAGAAATAATAATAATAATAACAACTAATTTTATAATATTATTTTTGTCTCCTGTATATAAATAAGTAAGTGTCACTAACTCAGAATTATTATAATAATACTGATCTATAAAATATATTGATGCTATATCATCCAGTCAATTTAATCGATCGTTGATTATTACTTATTAAGTTGCTTATTACATATAAGTTTTTAGATTGTGTTATCTCAACAGATGAAATTTAATTGTGACATTATTGGTAAGTATGATTATTATATAAATTTCATTGAATCGACCTTAACTTTAATAGTGTACACTCTAAAAATTAATGTTATTTCATTAAGCATAATTACTAAAAAATTAAAATTATCCAAAGTAATTAGACGTTGGTTTGCTTTTTCTTATATTTTTCATATATTTTTTTTTTGTTTCGAACATTAGGTATACACTTATTAGCAGATTATTGATGCTTTTTACAACAGAGATTATTGTGAGAAATTACATTAATTTATGTATTAATTACATTAATACATGAGATTAAGACTAATTGAAATTTTTTCAAGTTAATTGTTAAGTTTGTACCAGTTCATGATTTTGTACATATATTAAATTAACATGTTGAGATGAAACGTCACATATAATATGTGACAAACAACATGTAATTTATTTTGTCCCATTTCACACACCGTTCTTTGTAATGTATCATATAAATCTGGACAAAGTGTATCTCCTTTTCATCATATGTATGTACACCAACACACATGCGCGCGCGCACACATACACATATGTATACACATATATATGTATATATATATATGATTTATTATTTATTTTTTTATTAGCATAATATTGCATTAGAACTCTTTTGACTGAGAGTCTGTTTACAGTCTCTATATCTGATAAAAGACATACACATATGCAAATTCACACAATACAGAGATCAAATATGTAAAAACGAGTATTGCTGTTAATACAGACAAAAAAAATCACATCATATAAATATCTACAAAATCACGTACTTCTTATGTATACTTAATTGTAGCGAATTAAAACTAATATTATCAACAATATTGCTATTGATACAAGTAAAGTAAATTTTCCTGTTAGAGATACATACATGTAATAATTCCTATTTCTTTAAATATAGAACAAAATCTATTTAAGTTACATTCATCATTTAGAGGGATGAAAACATTATTTCATAAGGTATATCATTAAATATTATTAAGAGTTAATGAATATTAAAATTAACTGTAGTCGATGTACAGATAATCGCATGCTACAATAAAGTTTCTTTACTACATTGATATTACTCTTAATTATACAGACTCTGTGAATCTTCAAAGATTTCTTCGTTATGTATTAAGAGTAAAAAAGAATTCAGTTTTATTTAAGTTATCTAACTGAGTGTTAAACCTCAGGACATGTCTTAATTACTTAATCTATGGACAAGAAGTTGGTGTTCAATGTTTACCTAATAGTAATTCAAACACGCTTTGCTCTCTGTGTACATTAGAATTGCACATATAAATCATTTTCAGTAAATATTATACATTTCTTCACAGCCTTCTTACGAAAGTTCAATGTGAAAGATAATTTTATACTGCACTTCTTGTACATATCCACATAGATTAAAATTCTACTTTTACAAAAAAGATCTGCACTTAAAAAATAGCTCTATTTACACTAATCATATGCTTATATATCACCTTGCTAATCTCATTAATATATGTATGTATGTATGTATGTATGTATGTATGTATGTATGTATGTATGTATGTATGTATATATGTATGTATGTATATATGTATGTATGTATGTATATATGTATGTATGTATGTATATATGTATGTATGTATGTATATATGTATATATGTATGTATGCATGTATGCATGTATGTGTGTATATGTACGTATGTATATATCTTAAATTATACATGATGCGTGCAAAATTTTATATACATTAATAAAATGTACATACATACAATTAAAGATTGCATTGTCATATCTATGAATCGCCTTTGAAGAAATTTTGCTCTTTCCTTATTACGTATGATTTATATGTATGTAACATTGATCAATTGCTATATGTTTTGTTTAATTTCTTTACCTGCCACATGATTATTATCATTACTATTATTGCACAAACTTTCATTATTCGAAGTAGAATCCAATTTAGTATCTTCCAATTGATTATCTGATATATTTGTAACTTTCAAAGAATTATCGCTTATTTTTAAATCAGTATTTATAGATTGATCTTGAGATTCTGCATTGTGTTGGTTATTCTGAAAGTATGTATCAACCAAAGACACGTTTTTGCTAATCTCTTTGGAATAAGGAATATTGGAGCGTCCATTTAAAGCGTCAACTTTATCAGACGACGTAGAGTCATCCATTTTTTGCATTAATTCAGCCCATGGATCTTCTAAGATAGACTTAATGTCAATATATCTTGATATGTCAATTTGCCTATGACTATCCTTTTGCATACACTATATAACACATATAATAATTGAAGAAATTAGTTTGTATCTTACAGGAATCAAAGTTACAAAATATATCATGTAGAATATTTATATACCTTATTTTGTCCATGAAATTGCATACCAGTATGCTTATAAGGAGAGTAGGAATTATTGAAATGCAGTTTTGTGTTCGCAAAGTGGTTTCCTCTATAATCATTAAACAACCAACTACCTGAATTGCGGTGATTTCGACCAATCCCAGAACCATATCTGTTACCACTGTGTCTCTTTTGATCCGGCGTACTAGTGTTCAAGGGAATGAAGTCGTTATTGCCACGATTCAGTTCTACACCGTTGTAAGAATAACACCCACGCTTGTAAGCAACAAAACTACAATTTGTCCTTCTCGTATCAACGTAAGACTTCCACTCGTGATTATTCTGACTTCTACTACCGCCAGGCATACTTAACGGCGACTTTCTCATTATTCAATTTACACTACACTTTTCCTTTGCAAAATCAACGGATGTTTTTATAACCCAAGCGTCAACCAACAACGAGTGAGTGATATCAAACGACGCCATGTAAGCTTGTGTTCCATAGAATAAAAAAAATTAGATGCATCGTTAGGTATGACCGGAAGTATCTTCATCTCTATACTATATACAACTATGAATAATAGTTTGAAGAAAATATAATTAAAATAACATATAAATTAATATTATATATATATATCATTTCCAAAAAACGTGAAAAATTGTTTTACTTTTTATTGACAAATCCAAAAGTGGTTGATGTATCTAAAATGTTTAGAGTCAATGATTGTAGTATACAAAATGGCGTCGTTTGGTGCTTATCGTATCAATGTGCCTTTCGTCATTGTAGCTTTTACATTGTATTTTTTAGGAATATGATATATTTCGATAATTAACTATTAATTATTAAACGTTAATTATTATACTTTCTAGGACAAATTAGTCGAAAATTTGAATTACGTTTATGATTATCATTCTCTGATTTCTGATTGGTTGGCGTACATTGATACAAGCGAATCATAAGTTGATTTTTTGATCTTGCATATCAATTGCATGTAATTTTTCGAACTTTTGCATTCTAATAAGAAACTTGTGATAAAAAATACCAAGATATATATGTATATGTATATATATAAATACATGATCGATTATAATACAAATGTTATATCTGATGTTAAATAATCAGGCAATGCGAACACGCTTTTATCTATAGAAAACTCTCTAACATTTATTCATTATTTTCGTTTTTTCTTTTTTTTTTTTTAAATTCCCTATACTTCTCCTGTATACTTTTGTTCATCCAACATTTGCCTACAGCATCGTTTAAAGTCATCTATATTTTAAATCTTTGATACTTGATACATCTTTACGAAATAGAATATTATAAAATCAAAAATGCAAAAAGTAATTTCTTCCACGTTTGTAAGTATTTTACTTGATAATATAACATATAAAATATATCGTATATGTGATTTGAATTTTAATTAAAGGTACATGGCAGGATACGTAATAGTATTTCAATGATGTTACGTGCACAATTAACAACATTGAAATTAAATAAGCAAGAACTTCCTAAACTACCAGTTCCAGATTTAAAGAAAACTGCAGAAAAATATTTAAGGTATATAATTTGCGATATTTATTATTATTATTGTTATTATTATTTTAACATGAATGATAATAAGTGTGAACGCAAGGATATGTATTTTAAATGTAATGATATTATTTCAGATCTGTAGAGCCATTATTGAATGAAAATGAATATTGTAATACAAAAAGAATTGTGGAGGAATTTATTTCTGAAAATGGTCCTGGACCTTTGTTACAATCAAAATTATTACAAAAATATGATAATACCGACAATTGGGTAAACAGATAGGGGATTTCTTGAACTCTATTGTAAAACTAATCTAATTATTTTGAAGATCTTTTTATCTATCTACAGTTGGAGGAATGGTGGATAAAGTCTGCATATTTGAGTTATAGGGCTCCTCTTGTCATTCATTCTAATCCTGCTACCATTGGTGCACCTTTAAAATTTTGTCATAAAGAAGATATCTATACAATCGCGGCACATCTTATTAAAGCGACTTGTGATTATAATGATATGTTGAAAAGGTAAATTCTATGTAAGATATATTTATTTTTAATAGATAAAAAAAGATAAACGTAAAAAATTACTCAGAAATTATATAATTCTGCTTAGCGGTAAAATAGAACAAGAAATGATCAAAAATGAACCGTTAGATATGCAACAATATGGAATGATTCTTGGAACGCATCGTCGACCTGCTCCAGAATGTGATCAATTATTACACACCGATGACGCGAAACACGTTATAATAATCAGTAATAATAATGTAAGATACATTCAACATGTTTATATTATATGCAATATTTCTTATATATTAATATTGGTATCTAGTTTTTTATTTTCATAGTTTTTTAAACTTGACGTTATTAAAAATTCTTGTATTTTAAATGAAACTCAAATTGCTGGTACAATTAAAGATATTGTCAGTCGTTCACAGACGAAAGGAAAGCCCGTAGGTATTTTAACAGGAAATGACAGGGATACATGGGCAAAATATCACTGTATACTTAGAGGTATTTACGAACTTTTGAATTATAATTATGTTATGTTAGTCTTTTCCTTTTTCTCATGTTTGATATTTATGAATATCTTACGAAATAGTTTTTTTTTTTTTTTTTTTTTTTCAAATATAATCTTGAAGTATATGTGCACATACTTTAGTATCTATTTAATACTATCATTTTTAGAACAAGGAAATAATGAAAAAATAATAAAAGATATTGAGCAATCAATGTTCATATTATGTCTGGATAAAGAAATGCCTAAAGAAGCATTTGAGAACAAAAATAATGCCTCTGTTAGAGCTCTACAATCCTTAACCGGTTATAACAGTGATTTAAATGCAGGGAACAGGTGGCATGATAAGACTATACAGGTAATGTTAAACATTAACAAGATTTAAATATCAATTATTATAATAATCCAAGATAGAAAAATAATTATAATCTTTAACCAGAATATTGTAGATTTTACTTATATATTGAAACTTTGATAAAATTAATTTACAAAAATTGTATTTAACAGTTCATACTTTCTACTGATGGTTTTTTCGGATTGGAAATGGAGCATACTCCATGCGAAGGTGTTCCTGTTGGTGTATTATACGATCACGTTACAAAATACATGTAAATATAATGCAATGATATAAAAAACATGAAAGCTCATTTATAAATCACCACGATGTGAGACTAGATTGTCTCTTAATAAATATTTATCGATATTTGTACAATTTTTATCTTTGTTTTTTCTTTTAGCGTATCAAAACTAAATGATGTAAAATGTGACAAATTTGATAACTTCCCAAGGGCAGAATGTTTAAAATTTGAAACCAATGACGAAATAGACTGTGCTATTCAAAATGCTACCTGTGTTGTAGATAAGTATGTTACATTTTTTATATATGCGAAACATACGTGCTTTCAACGGGTTCGCTGCAAATGATGCCAATTGGTAAAATTTTTTATGTGTCTGTGTTACGCAGTTTGGTTTTATCAACTGTACCAAGTATATTAAACAAAAAATATAAATTGCACTTAGTGGTTTTTTTCTCTTTGTTTTTTTTTCCTTTTTTCTCAAAGACATAACGAATGCGTTAATTTGGATAATATATAAAAATATTCTTATTTGCAGTATCTCACAAAATACTAATATGGATTGTTTTACATTTAATGAATTTGGAAGAAATGAGATAATAAAATATAAGCTATCTCCTGATAGCTTCATTCAAATTGCCATGCAAGTTTCTTATTATAAACTTCACAAAAAGGTACCATGTCATTATGAAAGTGCTGGATTAAGAAGATTTAGAAAGGCAAGAACAGAATGTATCAGATCAACGAGCACTGAATCTATATCATTTGCAAAAGCTATGAGTAATGATGGATGTACAGACGAAAAACAATTGAAAGAAATGATGTTTAAAGCCATAAATAGGCATAAAGAAAGTGCATCCGAGGTATGTATTCTTGTATGTATGTATTATTATATTTTTAAGATTTCCTTTATAACATTTAAGAGAACTGAAGTAACTAACTTATGTACAAAACTTTATCAAGTGTATTAGGTGTTAAAGTGTATTAGATGAATATAACGATTAGTGAAAAATTATTTCAAAGTAGTCAATGCGTCAATTAAGTCTTTTATATAAAGATATAAAATTTATTTTTTTCTTCAGGCTACATTAGGACAAGGTATCGATAAGCATTTGTATGGTTTAAAAATGATAGCTTCTACAGAATCAATGTGTCTTCCAGAATTGTATAAGGATGTTGCATATATTAAAAGTACATACTATAATATAACATCGAGTCAAGTAAGAACACAGTTCTTATTTCTTAATAAGTATGTTCACAATCGTACACAATAGTCTTGATATAATTCTTTAATCAACAGGTGCCTCATAAAACGTTGTCATTTATGTGCTATGGTCCGGTTGTACCAGACGGTTATGGTTGTTGTTATAATCCTCGAAAGAACGATATTCTTTTTGGCTGCTCTTCCTTTAAGTCTTCTAAAGAAACAGACGCAACAAAATTTGCCATCGCTTTAAAGGAAGCCTTGTGTCGAATGAGAAATTTATGTAATGTTTAATTGATTATATGAATATATAATAAATTCGCTCTCCTCCTCCTCCTCCTCCTCCTCCCCCTCCCCCTCCTTCTCTCCACATAATGACTATATGTCTAGAGAAAAAAGAAGAAAAGAAAGAAAAGGTTTTTCGGGTGACTTATTGAACTGACATAAAACTTTAACCTTTCTATAATTTTTCCATATATTTTTTTTATTTTTAATAATAGACATATAACGTAAAAATTTGATTGTAGAATCAAGTAACAACTAGTTGAATATCCTTAATATTCTCATGATATATATATACCTGTCATTGGGTTGGAAACTAAGTGACTGCGGATTTTGTCGATAGATGGACTTTACACTTTTCGCAATCACTTAGTTACCAACCCAATAGTATTATAAAGTAATACGTATGATATAAAAAAATCTGTATACGTGTACATACTCTCGTCTGTTCGACCGAACGAATTTGAAAAAGAATGTAACGTAAACGTACAACGTACAACCGGTAGAAAAATGTATTATCCGAATAGATTTTTCTTCCTATTTATTCCGGTATGGAAAGGTATAATCTTTCATGAAATAAAAGAATTTGTGATGTCAATATAACCATAACTCCACGTATTTTGGAAGCGGCAATAGGTCATAATGAAACTGTTCCCACCATTTTGTTGAATTTCTCCTTCCATATGTATTCTTTAAAAGGAATTATTACGTCAGCACGGCATTCGTATATATAAGATAGATACTTGGAGATCAAGCGAAAGTAACCAACAAATCAGTGAATAATACATAAGTGAGAAAGAAGATGGAGTGGAAAATTCTTTAGCAACAAATATCGAGAAGTGTTGGTTTTTGTGTTCGATAATGTTTTTGAATCTTATCCTTGATGTTGTTATGACGGTATATATATATACATATATACACATATACACATATATTTACTTTTTTGAAAATATTTTGTGTTTTCATAGGATATAAAATAATGATAATATTTTATTTGTGTTTATATAGATATTTTAAAAATTGATTGAGAAATTCGGAATCGTTAGACTTGTTACTTAGTAATTGTCTTCTGAGGAATATCCTATTTATGACGATTTATAGCAATTGCTTTTTTGTTATCTTCTGATGAATTTGAAGAACACAGCAAATTTTCATTATATGATTTAAGAAGAAAATTTGTTTAATTCCTCCTTCTTATTAACTGACAAAAACGCTTTGGAAACTTTGAAGAAAAACTCTTTCTATTCCTTAAGTTAGATAATATTTTAATATTTGTTTTTATTCAATAAACATGGCTAAAACACCAATAATGATTTTACAAGAGTTAGGAGTGAAAGAAGGTTTTTTACCGACTTATATTTCAACTTATTCACAAACTAGTAAAAATGTAAATATATTTATGTTTGAAGTGAAATATAAAGATTTATCAGCAGTTGGACAAGCTTTGAACAAAAAAGAGGCAAAACAAAACGCAGCTCAAAATATGTTAACGTTACTAAGAGAATCAAAGAGTACTCCTATAATAAGACCAGTATTACCATTAAAAAATATTAATACTGGTACGTCAGTTTTGCCAAATTCACCTTTATTAAATCAAGCATTGTTGTTGGAAGATCATAAAAATTATATTGGCTCTTTACAAGTATGACTCATTTAAATTATTATTTAATACTTTTTCTTTAATCTTATGAACAATACAGTATATTTTCATCATCGTACTCTTTACGCTTTACCAAGCACGTGTAACTTTATTCCTTTGTAAATACTTTTCATTTGTAATATGATGTGAAATGAAAAACATTGTTTTGATTTTTTAGGAATTCTGTATAGAAAATAAATTAATACAGCCTGAGTATGAAATTAGTCAAACAACTGGACTAGCGCATGAAAAGAATTTTACGATGTCCTGTAAAATAGGGGCGATAACCGAAGAAGCAATAGGAACTACAAAAAAGCAAGCCAAACAACTAGTTGCAAAAAAAATGTTACAACGTCTTCACAATTCTAATGCATTGATTATACCTAAAAGTCAGTGTGAATCAAAAATGAATGATGGTTCTGAAATGTGTGACGATAATATGTCTAAAGAAGCAAACACAAATGCTTTTGAGGAGTTAGGTTTACGAATAGTCAATCTTAATGTAAACATACTTCAGAATGATATCGAAACAAAATATTTAGAATTGACTTCCAAGAAATGCTCAGCTGTGCTTTCAAATGAAAATCTTAACTTCCAGAATTATCATTTATTTTTTAAAGGTTTTATTTGTGATAAAGTTTGCGATGGTAAAGAGGAAGAATTAACTTTTATATATGACAATATTAAGAAATTTAAATCAAGCCTTTCGAATACAGAGAAATATGACACTGTTGAAATAATATCCCTTGAAGAACAGATTTTAGAATATATTACAGATAAATTGAAATTAAATATAGAAAAAAAGACTATATCTTGTAAAAATCCGTTGCTAAAGATGGTTGCTTTTAAAATACATACTCCTCTACCTATTATTCAATTTGGTGCGAATAGCAACTTAATGACTGCAGAGATAATAGCTTTACGCAATATACTTGACACAGTTATGATTTATTTGAAATAACTAAATGAAAATATATAAAATTTTAATTCCAACATTTATATTTTTATACAATTTCAATATTTTGTATTCGTATAATTTATTCTCCATACTTTATTAACATTTAACAGAAAATATGAAATTATAACGACTAATTCGAAGATAATAAAATGTGACTGGAGAATATGACTGGAAAACATGACTATCGATTTATTGTTCAAAATCAAAAAATTCCCTGCTTAAAGGATGTTATTTCGTGTTTGAAAAGTGATCATACCGTTTATCACCATACGAAATATATAGATATTTACTCGTACCTCGTTAACTCTTTTCTATCAATTTCTGCTTTATTGTCTATCATTTTAAGAAATTCTCTTCATTTTTATTGAATGTTTGAAGATACACATTTTAAAAGTTTATGACGAATTACATTAAATTGATTATTCCTATGATTAAGGAAAAGTACGAAGTGTTTATTAACCTCCATCTTGATTTCTAACCTACAAATAAATCCTAAAGAAGTAATAATGCAGTTCAGCGCCAGACAATTATACCTGAGATTGATTTTGAATGGAAAAGTTTTGGATAGATTTACTACAAAGTCCACGACAAAATGTAAATATACCAGATGGGCGCATCGTAAACCAGTTGCAATAGTTAATGAAAATGAATTGTTTAACGATCAAAATGAGAATAATACGGAGGCATTACGAGAAGGGAGAAGACAGCGTGTTAGGGCCAGGAAGATTAAGTCGCAAGAAAATGTTCCTCCAAATCAAGAAACTCTTTCAGATAAAGAAAATAATAAAACCAATATAAACAAATTGAGTAATCGTATTATCAGTCTCAAAGAAAATGATAATATTATTACGTGAGTATATAATATCATAAAAATTTTAATAATAAAAATAATATATAAATGCATGTGTTTTATTTCAGGTCCCTAATGGTAAATGTCAAGTCTCGCAAGAGACGAGAAAAGAGCAATCAGATTCTTTTGGAAGGCTATAGACTAATCAAAGATGGGATAGAAGCTGGAGTAAAACCGGAAGTTATTCTTTTTTCCAGACCGTCTGATATTATGGATTTAAATTTACATGAAGAAGTCAAATTATATAAGGTTCCATATAAAACGATGCAATTATGGAGTAACTTAACAACTTCTCCAGGAATTATAGGTAAGCCCTGGTAAGAATCCATGTCGTATGTGTAATAAAAAATAATTATAATTCTTTTCTTTTTCTCCATCGTTAAGGTATTTTCAATATTCCTGACATAGAAAGGATAGAAGCTGCACCTAATGCTTTACCTCTTACAATTATCTGCGACAATATACGCGATCCAGGAAATTTAGGCTCTGCAATCCGCATTGCTGCTGGCGTTGGATGTGAGAAAATAATATTATTGAAAGGTATAGTAGAATAATATTATTGAAAGGTGTATTATTTTTCAAAACCAAAATGTACGTCCGTAAAGAAAAATTGGGAGGCGATAGTTTCAAATATATTTTTTCAGGATGTGTGGATTTATGGGATACCAAAGTATTGCGAAGTGCAGCAGGTGCACATTTCAGATTACCGATATACACATTAACTTCTAATGATCTTTCATCATTCCTATACGATGGAATGAACATTTTTGTTACGGATAACAATCCAACGAATATTACGAATAATATTTTCGATAGCCATAATTCGAAGAACAAATATTCCATTTCGAAGATTTATGAAAATTTTCCTCTTCAGAATATGGAATTTCCAAAATTTAATGAAAATTTAAAAGAATCTGAAATGAGGAAAATTATAAGGACATTGCAATCTCAGCTTCCAATTATTCCATATTACGCTGTTGATTATTGCACGAACGAAATTGCGCTTGTAATAAGTGGTGAAACGGAAGGATTAAACCTGGAAACTCTTAAATTATTGTGGGAAAAACAAGCCGTACGTGTAAACATACCTCTATTAAATAATGTCGAAAGTTTAAATGTTGGTGCGGCACTTGGAATAATATCGTTTGAAATTCAACGACAGTTTGTATTTAAGCAAAGAGAATAAAATGATAATACGTATTATACGATCAGTGTCGAATAACTGTATGATTAAAAAAAGACAAAATAAGGAAGATTATTTATTTTATTTTATTTTATTTTATATATTCGCACGTATGTGCGACGGCGCATATGCATGTGTTGTGTGTGCGCGCGTGCGTGCTCGTATGGTACATTCATTTAATGCATTTCAATTTAACGCGGCCAATCGAAGTTTCCCTAAAATCGTAAAAGACCCTATATACGCATTAGCGATTTCAGAATGTTTCTAGATCTAGGAAAAAGTTTTGTTGACATTGGCGAAGCGTGTTATTCGTACGGCACTTCCACCCCCTTTCTCCTCATGTACCGGCGTATATCCATATGCATAATATCGTTTCTCGAGTTTTCACAAGAGGGTGGTGGGGGCGCCGGTTTTTGCGAGAAGAAGGACAAGCTAGCCATTCCTTTCCGTCCTTTGTGCATCGTATCGCGGAAACGTGAAGTGCGCGCGCATATTCTCTGTGCATCGCGTGCGTGCGTGCGTGCGTGCGTACGTGCGTGGAGAGAGATCGTTGAATGAAAGAGCAACAACGAAAAGGTAGAGAGAAGGAAAGAGAAAGAGAAAGAGAAAATAGTGAAAAAAGAAAGGAAGAAACGAAAGAAGAACGGGGCGGTACGTATGATCAAACTCGATGTGTATCGTCGTCGATCGTTCATAGCGAAACGTACCGACGTATAAATATCTAAACTGCCAACGATATCTACCGAAGAGAACGACTAACAAAGGAAAAGGGCGAATTTAACTCAAAAGGGAGAAAAATGTGGGCTGGCGAGGATCAAACGCAACGTTATAAAACCAGGTTCGTTCTTTTTTTTTTTTTTCTTTTTTTTTTTTTTAATCTTTTTCATCTATTATATCTTCCAACTTATTATTATGCGTTTCTTCGTACTTTTCTTTTTTTCTTTTTTCTTTTCTTCTTCTCCTTTGTTTTTCTTTTCTTTTCTTTTTCCTCCCCGCGCCCCTCCCTACATCCTGTACCAAGATTGCGTACGTTATTTTCTTCGTTTTTCTTACTTGTATATTTATTTATTTATTTTTTTTTCTCTTTCTTTCTCCTACAGTGGCCGCGTTGCGACGTGAACGAATTTATCGCAACTCGTAACGTCCGTTTTGTGATATTTTTTTGTCTTAACCTATACATTTTGTTCCTCCTTGTTTTATGCCATCGATCGTTTTCGATCGTTGAAACGCTGATGAAATCTTTCCCTTCATATACCACACACCCCTTGAATTCGCGCTCGTTATTTTTACCGGCGTTTGAAAGGAGACAACGCGGGCGTCGTGGAAGGGATATGTCGCGCAGGCATAAAAGTGAATGTGTGTATATTAGTGTAGAATAATACAATAAATGTTGAAATTTTTACATCGACAAGTGTCATCATTAATAAAGTGCTGCAGCATAACGGACTCTGTTGCATAATGAGCACATTAAGGAACAGTTTTTGTTTTATGAGTAAGTTATGTTTCGTATAATATTCAATTTTCCTTCCCTGTTACTTTTGTGTTTTATTCTTTATTAGATTGTACAATTCGATATGTTACAATTCAGTGATTTTGTTAGGTTAAAGAGAAGCTGCTTTCGACTTGGAACAAAGTGGAGCAAGCATCCGTATGAATCTGTACAACTTTGTAACGGTTGAATTATATCATCAGATCTTTGTCCCACTCCATTCTACTTTTCTACGAAAGAAAATAGTACGAAGATCTCTATGGTAGTAATAATTATAGAATTTATTCTTCTGTCATTTTATGTATATCATATCTTGATCGATAATATTATTTCGTTTGATTACAGTTTTCATCAGATTGACGTCATCCAAATGTTATCATCGAGTTGGGAATGATAAAAATTGTAAGGAGTTCTTAATAATGATAATGTAATCTAACTTTCTTCCACATTATAATATTATTTTATTGGGTAAGGGGAATTTAGATGGGCTAATAAATAGAAAGAAGATTGCAAGGACGATATGATATGGAAGATATTTCAAGAATGAAAGGGTAAACTTGGAAAATTGATGAAATATCAGTAATTGGAGCATTGTTTATCTGGCAAACAGGTAATACAATTCCAAAACAGTAGAATGAACGAACAAAAGAGCACAATGACATTGTACAACTTTTAGTTACATCTTCAATGTCTTTTGTTGCACTTTATTTGGTGTTTTATGTAATTTTGAAGTCGGTCCTAACAAGATCCGACTTCATTCATTATCCAACAACGTCATGTTTATACGTATCATTAATAATTTGTTAAGCCTGTTTGTATATTCCTAAGATTCTTTGTGCACTAAATATTATGTGTCTGTTTATTTTATTCATTCATTCATTCATTCATTCATTCATTCATTCATTCATCCATCATGTCTCTTCGTTACATCTGTTTTTTTTTTTCTTTTTTTTTTTCTTTTTGAAAACGAACAAGATAAAATGCGATAAAAGAGAAGTTTCGTTGGCAATATAAGATAGAATCGCGTTATCGATGGAAAGGTCTGTTTTAATAAATACAGTATAAAAGATAAGGAATGATTCATACAACGCAAATAAAAGATTTCGTCAGAAACATTGTGCGCTTACATTCGCTAGCGAATATGTATGTAGAGATAGCAGCTTGTCGTGAGGCATACACAGTTCGTTGCGGAGCAGAACGGTGAACGTACTGCAATGTTCAAAGTCAGGCTGTGCTACTTAGAGATAGTGTCGAGCGATTGCGGTTACAGCACAACCTATCTCATAGCAGGTTGCTACAACATCTCTTCATTTCACGCTCCTTCCTCTTCCGCAATTCATCTAACGAGCGCCATGTGGCCACATACCTGATGATTTCCCTCTCTCCGAAAAGTCTTCTTCGTCCATTTATGAAAAAAATTTATGTGAACGTCATCATCATGATCATAGGTTTTGTCTTTTGAAATAACTTTGACGTTACTTCTCTGTGTTATAACTCGAAGACCATCTTTTTTGAATTTACTTAACTCATTTAATATTTTCTTTTTGCATTTTTACAGCAACCGTCTATACGAATGATTAAACTTTCTTTTTTTTTTTTTCCTTCATGTTCAATTCTTTCGCTTAACTCAAAGGAAAAGTTACCTTTTCCTCTCTCATATGTATAGATTTCACCGTTGGTGGTGGAAAAAGAGGAAGGAGCGAAAGTAAATACGACATCCTCGTCGATTTCGTGACACTCCTTTGGCTTTCTTTGCATGTGCATCGACACGCTCGATAGCTCTCTTCTTCTCTTCCGTGCTTCTTCGTTCATAAATACTGGAGCTTCTTAATGAAACGTTTCCGGAGTATACACTCCTATCAAACTTTCCAAATGATTTCAAGACTGTTCCGCGGAAAGATAATATTCGTAAAGAAATAAATAGTCGAGAGAAAAAAAACGAAATATTCTCAAATATGGGCACGTGAAGGTAACGTAATACGTTGAAAAATATATATAGATTAGAGTAGTTTGTATCATGGCTCTCTTGAATATTTCTGTATAGTTTGACGGAAGTAAAACGTCAATTATCTTCCAGTATTTCTTTTCTTCTTTCTCTTTCTCTCTCTCTTTCTCTCTATCCCCTTTCTTCTGTCTCCCTCCCTTCCTCTGTCTCTGTTTCTATCTCTCAAGTATCTCTCTTTGTCTGAGAATAGAGTTTCAAGTTTTTCGAAAGGGTAGACTTTTGTGCGAGACACTAAAGCAGCCTTTAAATTTCGGATTAACGTGGAACAAAGAAATGTCTTAGAAATGAAGAAGGAGACCAGACCGGGTGTCTGGCAACTCGTTTACACCAACGTCGTGCACGTTCATTCAATGGTTCTTAAACGTCTTAGAAAGGAAAGTCGAGTCGCGAGCCAAATAGAAATGTTTTGTTTAAATTCTTATTCGATAATTTATTCATTAATCGTGACCACTCGATATTGGATGTAAGTAGCATGCCAACTATGTTACTCCAGTAACTTTTTCGCTCTTTTCTTTTTTTATTTCAACTATATAATTGAGAATTTTTTCAAATTTTTTTCAATGATTATTTTCAAAGACTTTAATCCTCAACGATTGTGAAATTGATCGAATTCGCATTGAAACATAACAAGATCTACGTATGTAATTAGCTTGATTTCCTTTATGTACGATCAATGTTAAACGATCGATATATCAAGAATATTATCTCCGATCGAATGTTGAGCGTCCGTTAATGTCAATCATGTTTCGATTGACATTGACAGACCAACCATTCTTTATTGTGACGCAGTTTAACGATTCGCTCTATTGAAGCATAACGAAGGCTATCTTTGATCGGTTCTTCCTGGTGGTCTTAGGAGAAACATTTACCGAGTATCATCGTCGTCGTCGTCATCGCCGTCGTCGGATTCGGCGGATCTTCTGCATTCTTTTTTTATTTTATTTTTTTAATATCACCAACGTCATTTTTTGTATATTTAAATACATACATAGACATTTACAAAGTTCACTTATTTAAATTAGAGCTCTTGTATAAAAGATTTTGTAGCAATCCGTTTTATTCCATGAAATACTTACACGTTACAACCTCGAGCATAATCGTAAAAATAAAATAACAAGGATTCCTACGGCTTGTCTAATGTTAGCTCACAGTATTTTAGTTTCGTGGCTGCTGTCTTCCTTTTACCGCACTCGCGAACGGTGCTCACCCTGTGTGTAAACCGCTGCACGTCCGTTCAAAACGGAAATCATGTGTAGAACCGCATTTCGGTACCGTTCTTCGCGAAGAAGAACCTTATAATGCTCATTACGAATGTGATCCTCATTTATTGTTTGAGCAACTTATTTAAATCTACATTTTGTTAAATTTACATCTATGATATTTACCCACAGACTGAATTTTATCGAATCTAAAAAAAATTGAAATTTAATTTATTCAAATTATACTATAAAAGATTGATCTCTAATCGTGGATATACGACGTAACGATTTTGTATGATTAGAAGAAATGATACATAATTTTGTTACCTTTTGAAAAATAATTAGACCGTCGTAAAAGAGATAAGACCTTTGTAAAATGGACAAAAATGATATACGTACGTACGTACGATCGGGTTTATCGAATTTATCAAATAGATCGAGCTTATTTAAGAAAATTTCTAATGATTCAAACGTAGAACTTGAAAATATTTAATCGGACTCGCTATAAAGTCTGTCATAGAAGATGGTATCAGACTGATTAACAAAGCCTAATGAGGGTGGAATAATGTTGCGATTATTTAACGATTTTCTCTTGCCCGCCTACGATCGGAACGAGAGAACGTAGATCCTTACGTGTCCCATTGGCTAGCATAGCGACACCAGAAACAACTTCCACGGCAAGCAAATCGTTCGAGCTTGAATCCTCGCGAGAGGGATATCCGTGGGATTCTTGGCAGACAAGTCAACAAGAATATGTACTTTCTTTAAGTCGATTAAAAAACGAAATTATCCCGAGGAAAAGAAGAGGAATAAAAGGATTTGTACAATTAATGGTTGACGTTAATTCAAAACCCGTTAACACGTTAAACATTCAAGTTTAACGAGAAAAACGATTGATTACATCCTCCGTGAAGAAGACTTATCAGGCTAGATAATAACGTCCGAGAATAAATTACAAATGTTTTGAATATCTTCCTTTTTTTATTTTTTAATTTTTAAAATTTTTTTTTTGATCGTAGAGCTTCAATAATTCAATGGCTTCCGTATTTAACAAAACCTGTTCGATTGATACCGACAACCGTTGCTTCAGAAATAAATATACCCTTACATGCGAAGACCTTGGACATTGTTTTTTAGAATCAATAATGCATTCGAGGAATACATGCGCGAGTCGAGATGTGTCCTTATCTTTTTTTTTTTTCTTTTCTTTTTTTTTTTCTTTTTTTTCTTTTTTTTAAATAACGCGGTCAAAAGTAGACGGGACACAGTCGGAGATTGGAAAGACGCTTGAAAGAAAATGAAGAGAAATCCTTTTGTGGGACGTGAGAGCAATTCCATGGCGCCAAGGGAAGATAGCGGAAGTAAGTGCCGTCATACAAGGAGCACAGGTTTCCTCTCTTACCTCGAGAAGGTGTTGCCGAGGATTATCAAGGTGGTAGTAACGGAAGGTTGGCCTTCGTTAAGCTTACCACACTGTCTGTAGCCGGTTGCACTCTACCGAAACAGCAAACCAGACTTACTGCCTCGTGCATTTATTTTCTGGTAGGATTTGGCGCACACGTATACCTCCGTGTACATACGTATACATTCACACGTACACATATATATACATATATGGACACATACACGCACACACATATATACACAAGTCGGCTTTTACTTTTAGCCTGAATAGTTTTCCAACAAAATGCGGCATGCGGTTTTATATTCACAAAACCGGTCTAAACATGATGGATAGTCAATGGAAGTTATACGGAATTCATTGTTAAAAAAAAAAAAGAGAGAGAAACAAACAAATAGAATGACTTTATGGATCAACATTCGAGTTCTAATTGAATGAATTTCGTGGGTTAGCTTCTACGGAAACTCGAGACCTATTTGTTAAATACACTTAAATAGATCGCTATTTAATTAATTGATTACTCCAAGAGAGTTTAGAAACGGTCGAAGAAAGAAGGAAGGGTGTTTCGACCCTGCAAACATCCTACGTGTCCTACGTTGACGAAGGGCGTTGACAGAGGAACTGCGTAACAACAACCCTTCGTTCTTTCCCTCTCCCTCTCTTTCCCCTTTTCGAATAAACCGCTGAAACCCTGAAAATTTCGCATCGAGTTTCGCTGTATGAATAAAGGTGGAAGCCGTCCCGCGTTTATCCGTGTATCCAGCGATGTGTAGCTGAGGGGAACGAATACCTTCGTCTGAGGCGGTAAACGCACGCAGGACGTTACTTATACGAACGTCAATTTTGCATTACCGTTCATCAATGTGTTCGACGTTATTCTTGCATCGTGTTCCCAGACTAAACGATATCGATTCGGTTCGATTAATTGTAAAGCATGCATATGTATATACCATCTGTATTCGTCATCTTTGTTATGTCTTTTGATACGACAGACGCCGTGTCCTTGCTTTTTTTCTTTCGATATGTGCGTGTGCGTATATAATTGGACATTATTCATATAATTTTTTTTTTTTTTTTTTTTTTTTTTTTGTAAATTCTACAAAGGCATATTTCGAATAGTAACCCGACGAAGTGGAAACCCAACGAGCTATTATAAATGTCTTTCGGTATCCATCTCTTTGATGCGTTGTTACCTTGCAATCCATCAGTCCGATCATTATCGTTTTAATGTTAGCTCATTACCTTCCTATGCGTGATATCAGGCGTGGCGATAGGTGCGTATGCACTTAACTAGGTGTAATGTAAAAAATCTTAGGTAATGACATCCGGCGTTGGACGTAAAATATGTAGTACGTCTTCGACCGGCAAGAAAATATTCACGTGGTTGGCTTAGTAACACGTGATTTTATTCCATCGGTTATCCTGTCAAAACTTTCTTCCGTCGTTCGGTAGAAGATATCTATGTATGTAGACGTGGCTTGCGTGTATATAAAGAAGAAAAAGAAAGCATCGCGAAAATGGAAGATGGTATATAAAAAGGGGAGCAGTTAAATAAATAACCAAGACGTCTGCGAAACGTCGAAGAGAAGGAATGGAAAGAGAGAAAAAAGGATAAACGAATAATGGTCGATCGAATATCGAAAATTTAATGAGTCACAAATATAGAAGGTACCGTTGTAACGCGTACCTTGAAAAAAAATATTTAATCGATATTGAGAAGTTTGGCGGATGTTAATTATATACAAAATTATATATAAAATACAGAAAAAATATTTGTAGACGAGTCTGTGGGATCGAGAGAAACTTTTTTCCCTCGATGATCGATAAGATCTCTCTTACCTGTAATATATGAAAAAAGTATCTTTTAAAGTTGGCCATTCATCTCGAAGAAGATAGAAAATAAATGCTAGTGAATAACATCTCGAATGATTATCGCCGCAGGACGTGTTCCTCGTTAGCAAAAGGATTCCGCGATCATCTCTCACAGAGCACGCACACACACGTACACATATGCACGCGCGCGCGCACAATTTCTCGAGCATCTTCCTAGCCGATGCACTTCTCGTTATTTTCGAGCGTGGCACGTGCGTGAACGTGCGCTTGCGCGCGCGCGCGTGCATCGGGGCTCAACGCGTCTGCAGGATGCATTTCCCCCCACCCTAACAACAGTTCTTCTCCTACCATCTCTCCATGCGTCCCTGCAGAAGTCCTCTCCTCTCTCCGGTCTGGTTCGCCGAGCGTATTGATTGAGGTGAATGCACGACGTCGACGTCGACGCCGACGCTATCGTCGACGCCATCCCCCTTCCTCGCCAATGGTGGGGGTGAAAGTGCATACGTCGACGCTCCAGGGGGGTGGACTACTCCCGATAGAGAGATGGCGAAACAACACGGTTCCTGGTCCAAGTGACTTTGACGAAGAAGAGAAAGAGAGAGAGAGAGAAAGAAAGAGAGAGAGAGCACAAGAGAAAGAAATTTGCTCTGCTTTCCAGATTTCAAGAGCCCTTAGAAATTAAAAATTTACATCGCTAACGATGATTCAGCGTAATATTAATGTATAAGAATTTATGAATTACATAAATTCGTGTTAATTATCCGGATGGAAAATATTAGAAATTAAAGGGTTGCGCGAGTAGAGAGCGATACGTAAGAGCAAAAGAGGGAGCGAGAGATAGCGTGTCTGTGTGGTAGTGGGGGAGGGAGGACCGGCCGAAGCGATTGGTGGGGAGCGCCGCTGCCGGTGGTATATACAAGCGAGATCCTTGTTCGACTGTCAGTCTCCCGTCGGCATCGCGACGATAAGAGTGTTCTAAGTTTTACGTCTGAATCAGTGACCTGTAAACTTTTTTTCTATCATTTTTCTGTCCCTTTCGCGTACATTATATCAAACGGGAAGATTGTTTCCTTCTCCTCTTGAGAGTGAGAAACAGAGAAAGAGAGAGAGAGTGAGAGAAAGAAAGCAGTCAAGGACTTTCTGACTCACTGGTGTCAGCGATATCGGGTTGTTGGTTGGTTGGGCGAACACGAACCCTCCCCTTCTCTCTCTCTCTCTTCTCTGCTTCTTCTCTCTTTCTCTCTCTTTCTCTCTCTCTCTCTCTCTGTCTCGAGCTCTCCTCCTCATCGGCATCGTCGTTAAGGGAGCGGCTGCTCGTCGTCGTCGTCGTTGTCGTCGGGTAGGAAGTGGTGGGCGTCTCTTCTTCCTCTTCGTCTTGCAGGATTATACGTTATGGCAACTTACGCAGCTTACAGACACGTCGAGCTCGACAACGTTGGTTACGGAAAGAAGAGGTGGGTTCTTTTTTACAGATTGAAATTCAGAAAGATGGAGGAAAGGAAAATGAAGTATGGAGGGATGAACAATGATGTCTCTCTTTTCCTCTCTCTCTATCTCTCTCTCTATCTTTCGTTTTTCTTTTTGTTTAGTTACTTACATACCTCGACGGATTTTTACAGATCCATTTTGTCCTAAAAAATATTTCTTCGATTAATCGAAATATATGAAATTTAAAATTGACGAGTAACATTTTTGTATTTAGTTTACAGTTAGTGTAAAAGTTGGATGGATGCGCATTCAAGAAATTCGATATTTTTTCTCGGCACAAAATGGTATTAAAAAAAAAAAAGAAATAAATAAAGTAAAGAAAAAGAGAATAATAAAACAAAAAAAGATTAGAGATATGGTGGGGAGAAAATGCGAAGAAGAAATGCGCGCGCTCCTGCCGATATTTCTAGTTTTCAAGTTGACCGGGAAATTCGATGTGACGGAACATGTGTTTTTACAAGAAGCGCGATATTTTTGATCGATTTACATGTAGGTGCGCATACACTTTGGCTAGCATTAAATAACCGAGAACGTCGCATTTTTGCTTGTGGTATAAACGAACTCTGCAAGTTTAATCGGAGAATATTATCGATGAAATTTAAAGAGAAATAAAAAAAGAATAAAATCAACTATAACAAAATTGACGTGTATGATATTAAAATTAAATTCTGAAATATTTCTCGTTTACTTTCGATAAGCGCATTAATACGAATCGAATCGAAAGTTAATAACATTTAATAACGTATCCATATCTCGAAGTAGATGAAAGCAGTGATTAATAATAACAATAATAATAATAAAAAAGCAAGAAGAAAGCAAAAAGCTATGAATTCCGTTAAATGATCCGTCGTCGTTTACATGCGAATTAACGCATGTTCTACGTTCTCGAGTTTGCAATTGGCCTCGATTTTTGTTCACGTATATTTCAGGAAGTATGGTATAGTTTATCGTTCAACTGACTATCATTAACGCTATATTAAATCGGCCGTACGTTATCGTTATTTCTTTTCTACGAACGATAACCGCAGAAAAAGAGGTTCGAATTAATTTACCGACGAGCTCATAACGGCTTAGCAGCACCGCAAGATGAAGAATGAAATGAAAAATAGAAAAAAAAAAAAATAATAATAATTGAAAACTTAAAAATAAAAAGGATGGAGAAAAAAGGAGCGATTAAAAATCTTCCGGGTGATTCTATTTGCTTGACTTTTGTTTGCGAGCTTCCGTGTAGGACATCAATTAAAAAGCAAGCTATACATTGAGAAAAGGAGTTTAAGAAGACGAAGAAGAAGAAGAGAGGCACAGCAGCTGGGTTTAGAAAGCGTGACCGCCGTTTTGTATCTTATCGTACGTTTTGCGTTCCATAGAAAGGATCAAAGGTGTCTAATTACCTTATTTTTTTAGTTTTTCGGTGACCCAGAATTCGAATATTAAGTCTGGTCATATAAGAAAATTATGCTTCCTTAATGAAAGGTGTGATGAAACAATGAGATCCTTTTTTCTCTCCCTCTCTTTCTCTCCCCTTCCTAATATACTCTTCCTTTTTTCTTTTTTAATTCTAAAACCAATGAAAAAATTTGTCTTTTCTCTCCTTCTCTTTCTCTCCCCTTCCTAATATATTCTTTCTTTTTTTCTTTTTTAATTCTAAAATGAATGAACAAATTTGTCTTTCCTCGATCGCTCGTGAAATCATTAGAAAAATTTTTCTATATAATAACCCTATCTATGTTGTTTTTTTTATTTCTCTGGAAAGCGAACAAGAAAAGATATCTATGGTATGGCCGAAAAAAAGAAAAGAAAAAAGAAGTACGATTTTACTCGTTAAATCGTACGACTTTCTCGCAGTGAGGGAAACGTTTCGCGACTATTTCTGTGCTTTTCTTCGAGGACAATTACCGCGACTTCGGAAGGAAATCTGTGGACATGATAACCGCCTTGGACGAGTTTCATTCGTATTACAGACCGCTTAAATATGTGTATCGTTTGCACGCAGGACTCTACGATGCCTTTCTGTAACATATATTGTGTTTATATATATATATACATACACAGGCACATATATATATATATATATATATATATATATATATATATATATATACAATACCAATGTAAAGTAGGATTGCTATTGGAGATTATAGGAAAGTTGTAGCTCTTATTGTGTGTTACCAGTCGATTGAATGCAATACAAAGTGCAAATGCAAACGTGTTTTCTCTCTCTCTCTCTTTCTCTCTCTTTCTTTCTCTTTCTCTTTCTCTTTCTCTTTTTCTTTCTTTCTATTCGTGCGTGAAATCAAGCGCGATATTAACTTGTACGAAGAAACCTTCAAGTGGAGGCTATACGGAGGAATTCTTTTACAGGCTCTTCGCGAATTTACGATTCGCCATGGACAGACGGAAATCTTCATTTCCGTTAACCGTTTTTCGTCCTCCTTTCCATCGCCATTGTAAATATTACAAGATCTTTCTTTTCATAGGAATTCATATATATATATATATATATATATATATATATATATATATATATATATATGTTTCTTCTTTTTTTCTTTTCTTTTTTTTCTAAATTTTTTTCAAGTCACGCGACAAAGAAAGAAAATGGTCGATTTTAACGATAGTTACTTGCATATATCCAAGAGCTGATAATTCTCTAACGAGTTACATTGTCATCGTATATGCATCGTGAACGATGATATTTAAACGTTCTTCATTTTCCCGTTCATCATTCTCCCAGCTGATTCATCGTTAATAAACTCGAAACGATATCGAGACATGCTAAAAATGTTAACTGCTCAGTCATCCCTTGATTTCTACCATTCAGATTGATAATTATCGCTTTGTTAAGAAGCGATGGATGTAGTTACCGTATAAGTTCTCTGCCAGTCAATAGCTTCTCTATGGGAACTTGGTATAATGATCGCTTTGTTTTCGAAATGGTTTAATAAATAGGAAGACATATTGATTGTTCTGGGTCAGTCGATATATATATATATATATACATACATATAAATTATGTCTATGTGTATTATAAGTTATGAGAAGGACTATACTTATTTTTTACCAACTATTGATTTCGTCGAACCTTGTACGTTGGCCTAATCGCGAAAGAACATCTGTGTCATGATATGAGTCAAAAAAGAGAGTATAATGGTAGGTGAAAGAGAGCAATTGACTGCTGCAGTGTTCTCTGCATCGTTGCAGAGAATAGTTCTAAAATGCCATATGTTGGACATTGTCGTGGGAGTGGACTTCATCATCGACATTTATTGACGCTATACAAATAAGGATGTCGACAAAAGAAAAAGCCCTAATTCGAATTCTCTAAGCTAGGAAAAAAAAGAGGAAATGGTAGATAAATAAATTAATCAACTTTTAACCGATAGAAAAAAAAGCTGAGATCGTCAATTGGGATGATCAATTTTAACAATCTAAATGGGTGTGCCAATTTTGTTCGTAGAATTTGTTTTCAAGGCTCCTCGATAATTAGTTGATTTAATATGTTTTATTGATCGTTTATTTGAATAAAGCGTAGGGAAGATTTTTCGAGTAACATTGATCAAAATTAAGGTTTTATTTTTTATTCATCTAATTTTATATTCATCGATTAGATTTTTCTTTTTCCTCTTTTTTTTCTATTTTTAGATCACTTCTATTTTAGTAACGATTACTTAAATAACGTATTCCGCTTATCAATAAATGAATACCCTAGCAAGAGTTAAGCTATATGTCAGTCCCAGTATTATTATTGTGCGGTCATCGAGCGGGCAGCACAAACAACGGCTCTTTTGTCGCGTGGTTCCACGTGTAAAACGAGATAGGCCAGAGTCTCGTGTATCCGTGTCCGTCGAAATATATCGTGTTACATCCAATGAGACTACCATCCGGATGTGGTGTTCGAAACTCCCTCTTCTAGCTCCTACCGTACTTCCATCGCCACCACTACCTCGTTGACTAGGAGGATAGAAACGACGGGGTTAGTCACCCCCGCCCTATGGGGTGGCACACGCGTCGTGGCACCGTGCTCGACGAGAAAGGGTGGATTTGCTCCGACCAATACCTACATGTATATATGTTGCAGCCATTGGCTTCGTTTACTCTCTCTCTCTCTCTTTCTCTGTCGCGTTTGTCAGAGTGAGCTTTCGAAAGTATCTCTGGCCACTTCGCAGGGCTTCCTCGAAGAAAAAAACCGGATTTTATCGACATGGCGCGTGGCTGGTAGAAGCCACTCTTTAATAAGGTTGAAGGGGAGAGAGGAAGCGGAAGAGAAAGAGAGAAGGAGAGAGAGAGAACTTCGTCAAGTGACCATCTCGTGTTTTAATGAAGCAACATCGAAAGGAAGAGCGTCTTAGTCTTTTTATGTCTTATCTTCGGATAAAAAAAATATATATATATATATATATATATTAGGTACGATAATGAACGGGAAATAATTTAGAAAAGTGACGAAAAGAGAAACAAGAAATATTTTTGTTGAGAGACTCTATGGAGTGGAGAAGACTATCGGGTGTCCGATTACCACATCAGACTTCATGACAATCAATGATCATGTATCGGCGTATCAAAGGGGAAGTATCGGATTACACTGAAGATGAGATAGTAATGAGAAAAAGGAAGATGCGTGAGTACGAGTTGAGAATAACCGGATTATCGATTAATCAACTTTTTTGATACCTCTAAACCTTTGGATAACTTCGCAGATGCAGAAGTGCAGAGTGCAACAAAACAAGCAAAAAAAAATCGTGAAAATTATAGATCTCTTACGAAATCCATAAAATCTTTGTGCGCCATTCCGATCGAGTTCCTTTCATATTTGACTAACTATGAAACGTTGCGTTAACTTTAACATCAAATGGAGAAGGGGAAAAAAGGAAAAGAAAAATTTGTTTAAAATAAAAGGAAATACTTCTAACGGGCGACCTACTTCGTATGGCAATCAGGAAACCTTTTTTTTTCCCCAACGATAAAC